ATATATATATATATATCCGCTTCATTTAGAGATACTGACATCTAAAATTACATACAACTATGGCTGCTAACTTAAATATATGTACATATATAAAATACTCCACTTTTACTTGTAATTGCAAATCATTTTGCTTCTACTCTTGAATATTGTTATTGAATATTGTTATTATTATAGTTCACTGACAAAATTTTACTGCGAATTATTTTTCAGTGATATATCATCTTTATTACATTGCCAAATGATTATATAAAATAATATATATGTATCTCTACTTTCACCGCTTGCTTATCATTATTAATCATTTCATGTATAGTTGTAGATCATTATTATTTTATTTATTTTCGGATGATCACCTTGGTCCCCGACATGACGAGCGAATATAGAAGAATGTGCGCAACTCTGGATAGTAACTCGCTAAATCGCACCTGACATTGTGATAAGATATGTCTGTCAATAATCTTCCGTGGAGATCCACTCGGAGCATTTCCGTTCGGATCGGATCAGATTTGATGTGAGAAACGGACACGGATTGACGTCACTCGCGAACGATGTGACCGACTGCTCTCATAGCATCTCAAAACTAAGGACCCATTTTCATGATTGTACATCATGTTATCTAGTTAAATATAGACAAATATTTCTTGGAGAGAAAAATAGAGGCAAAATGACTTCTTATAAAATAAAATAAAGAAAAAAATTCTTTAATTTTAAAATGCAATATGAATTTTTCATGGAAAGTAAAAATTGTTGAACGTCGCGCGCAATGTGAGTCCGCACGAAAAGAACAGCATCCGTGAGAAATGTGTTATGACTTGTGACTTGTGACCAGTTGTAATGAACCGTGACAGAGGAAGCGCAGTGATAATTATTGATAGGGAAAAAAATCAAAGTCTCAGTTGGCGCGAACATATGTCAGTGCTTGCATATAGTTGTTGCCAGATATTTAATATTGAAAATTTCTCGGTATCTGGCGGCCAATGTCGATGTCACTGAGCATTTTTAACGTCACGGTTCTAAAAACAAAGATACGAAAACAGGAGCGGTGGAAATTATCACGGTAACTAACACATCTTTTTACATTTTTATCATTTTTTTATCGAACTGCGATGTGAAACTTTTACTATGCTATATCGGACCAAATCTCTTAATTTTCTATATTCAGACTTTATTTGAGTTTACTCCAAAATTTGATCTCAAACTGGAAAAGATAATTTTTTATAATAAATTTATAATAAATTTTATAATAAATTATTTATTGAAAAATAAATTATTCTTTTCAGGATAAAAGATGCAATCTTCGTTGCCTGATCAAAAGATTACCTGTTTGGGAAAATGTTTAGATAACATGACGAAAGAAGAATTAAATGGAATTACTGAAAATATACACAATACCTTGATTTGGCCAAAGGGAAATGAACTTTTCACAAATTACCTAGAGCAGTACAATTTTCGAGATAGTTTGGAATGCTTGAATTTATATAATAAATGTTCCGAGTGTCTTGCAGAAAAGAAGAAACAATTGTAAGATTATTTATATAGATAGAATGCTAAGTATTAATATTGTTACAAAATTGTGTTCAAGTATTTTTTTATAATGCTCTACATTTAAGATTTTTAAAAAAATTATATAGCATCTTATTTAGTAATAAATATTTTAAAATACTTAATATTTTAAAATATTTAAATTTCCATATATATTAACAAATTTACAGGAGTAAAAAAAATTTAAAAGAATTTGAATTACTGGAAAGCCTTTTTGTGGAAGTAAGAGCAATAAAAGAGATTGTCGAGGATCTGGATGGTATTCCAGAATTGGATATGGATCTTATGAAACAATTCAACGAGGCTTTAAAGACAAGAACCAACATAGAATTGCTCGCTGTGTTAGAAGAAACGAGAATCCGATGTCGAAATTATTTACGAAAAAGTCACGAAGGTTTCAAAGAATACGTCGTGGAGCAGTATTCATTGAAGTTAAAATGTAAAAATAAATAACTCTCTATAATCTTTTTGAATTTGAAAAATATTATATAATGTGTAATTTAGCAAACACATTGATCTATGGATATGAACTAACAATTAATTCTCAATTTTTAAGAATTTTCTAAAAATCAGTTTTTTATATACCAAAGAGTGATATAACAATAAGTACTTCGTTACACTTAATGGTTAACTTAGTAGTCACGCTAAGTACTTAAGTTACAGTGAAAATATAAAATAAAATATTCAAAAAATACAGATATATGATTTCGAAGTTACAGGGAGTTATAGAGGGGTTAAGATCTAAAGATCTTTTTCACATTTTTTCTTTTACATTTGTGATATTTATGATATTTATGATATTTAATCACATTTATTTATAATTTACATGTGCAGTCTATACGGTACTATCCAAAGCATAATAGTAATGTTCAAACCTTAGAAAGATAAGTTGTAGAAAATCATTGTTAATCGTTAATTTATACAAAGATGATATGTATAGTTGACGGATCAAATTTATCTGTTTCTTACTTCATGTTTGATCTCGATTTATTAAGAGGTACATACATACAACGAAGATTGTGAGTGAGAGAATATGAATTGTAGCTTTTGTTCGAAAACATCGAAATTATTATTAGATTATATGTTTCTGATAGTCTGGAGACATTGTGAAATTGTTCCTTATAGTTCAACTAGTCTACACTCATTGTACTTAAAATGAAAAATATATGTTTGAAGTTTGATGAAAGCGAGAAAGAAAGTAAATGTAGTCCAGTGCAGAGATAAATAACAGGTCTTAAATCGAGAAGCATCGCTTTGTGATGTTTCAATTAAAACTTTCGAGCTTTTAATACTATTCCCTACAGTGACAGAAAACACAGAGGCTTAGTCAAGTGATATGAACATTGCAGCTTTAAAGCTCTTAAAGGTGTTTTTCATGGTGACAGAAAATACAGACTTAATAAAATGATATTAATAAAAACGAGTTTTCCCTATGTTTTATCCTTCCAGCGTTAATTGCGATTGATAAATGTTGAATATAACGCACGTGGAAAAACCAGAGGAAAGATTCATCGGGACGATAAACCAAATTCGCGACACCGTCCGAAAATTAGAAGAAAGCCTGAAGCGTTCGCGAGATTTGGAAGCTGCTCGATTTTTTCGATACTCCACCTTGAAATGTCGCGATAAAATTCTGGTAGACGATCTGAAGAAGATTAAAGCGCGAAACAAACAGATGTTGAGTAAGCAAAATCTTTATTTGATTAATTTAGGCCGTAATTTGTTTGGTATATTATTCTTTAGATTTATTTCGACAAAGCGTCACGGACGTTCAGCTCGGCTCTCTCGACATACTGCCGGAAACTCTGAGGAGACAAGTGCAGAAAACGTGGCACCAGAAGTAATTCCCTCGATTATGCTATATTGATTATTCATATACAGTTACATACATTTATACAGTTCGCATTTTCGTAATTATATTTCAGATATGACGCTCTGTTATCTCAGAATGAACGATGGCGAAAGCAAATTATCGCTATGAATTGCGCATTGAAAGGGAAACAGAAGGAGGTCTGTTCGAAATATTTTAATCGTCTTGCTGCAAGCAAGATTATAGAGATATACGTAAAATTAGTCGAAGCGAGATAAATATAAAATAAATCATTTTTCGTGATATTAAAAGTTTTTAATATGTAACAAATCTTAAATTATATTAATTATTTGTTTTGTTATAAATTACGTGTTTCGTAATTTAACTCGTAAATCGTATTATATTATTATCTTTGATATTTCTTCTATTTTATTATGTAATTTTTTTTCAATTACTGTTCGTATTTGTAGATCGATAACTTGCAACGGAAATTATTTAGCATCGCAGGAAACATCGTAAATTCTGAGGGAAATGCTGAAAAGATTTGCAAAAAATGCTGGATCCTATCGAATGAAACTTAATAAAATACACAGAAAAATTAACATAAATTGCTATTCTTATAAAGATAAAATGAGATTCATATGTAAAATAAAACATACTATCCTTTGAAGGAATTGTTTAAGTAGAAACGTTTTTAAAATGCTTTTTAAAAACGTTTCTAAAAACATTAAATATTCATTATTCATATTTATTCATATTTATTCATTATTTTAAAAACGTTTCTAAAAACGTTTTTAGAAAACGTTTTTAGAAAACGTTTTTAAAATGCTTTTTAAAAACGTTAAAAAATGCTTTAAAAACGTTTTTTTCCATTAAATAGTAATGATTTGCCTGAAGCAAATAATTCGTCACTGTCATGTCACATAAAAAGAAAGACTAAGATAATTAGGATAGGATTTAGTTGCAATCTGATTATATAAGTGAAGGTAAATCTGTGGCTTCCTTATATGAATGCATTCGTCAGTCTCGACGGCATATGTTACTGGAAGCGAGTGAAATCAATTTCTCGTATCTAAGTTAAAAAGTTCAATTAAATCAACAGGTTGACTTGAAAAAAATTTTCACAAATATTAAATATATTTTTTCAAAAATGTTTATTTTTAGACGTGTGTGAAATTTTGCTTAATTTCAAAGGAATTAAATCGAAGTTATTTTGGTTTCTTTTTATTTCGACGAAATCGATAATATTTAAAGTGTTAATAAGTGGTTTTTTGAAGGTTTTCAGAAAAATGGAAAAATCACAGATAGTTATCTTAAACGGATTTATACGCCAGAAAATACGGGAATTATTGGGAACTGTGTGCATCTTTCTGTTCGCTCCGTTCATCACGATCATTCTGATCCTTTTATATATCTATCGTCGTTTGATCGATATCGTGTTGAGGATCCAACTGAGGAAGAAATTCGCCGGTCTTCTGAATGGCCCGGATTCCATATGGGTCATGGAGAATTCAGTTTGTCTATCTGTTATCAATATCTTGATGATCCTGGAAAAGAACGAAGGGGACTCAAACGCATCTTTCCTAGAAAATTTCCGAAATCTAATAAACGATCGCATCGCTTCGAGAGCCGCTGGTACAGCGCTTGAGAAATTGTTCTATCGCCGTAGTTGGAAATTCGGCTATTACTTTTGGGAAAGAAACGAGGAGGTAGATCTGAAAGACAGAATCCGATGGCTGGAGTGTGTCAATGCTGAATGCGACGGGTCCTGCGAGGATGTCACCGGCGAATTCTTCCGGAAGATTTTGAAGAACGTGACCAATAAACCGTTACCTGACGATCATACGGCCACGTGGGAGATTCTAGTCGGAAGACGTTGTTCGAAATTCAGATCTCATGTCGAGGAAAGCCATTTGTCTCCTGAGGAATGCTTCAATACCAACACCCGGAAGATTCCCGTGTTATTTCGCATTCATCATGCCTTGGGCGACGGGATAGCCCTAATAGACCTGTTGCTCAAAACAATTGCTGAGGAAGAAGAAGAAGAAATGAGAATAAAAGTCAAAAGCGTCGCCTCGACAAACGAGATTGGAAAACATTTCAAAGAGACCGTTCTATTAAACGATTCGAAGAGAAATTTCCAGAATATGGAGGTTGTACAATCTTATGAGAAGGATAATCTTGCCGCATCGATGCCTTTTACCTGTGTGAAATTTTCACGAATTTTACGAGATCATTTCCAAGCGTCATTGAAGTTCTCTAATGACGCAACGATCGAGTCGTTGAAGCAGCAAGCGAAAATATGGATTGGTACGTGGCCGAATTTCAGAGATATCAGCAGAGTGTACAGCAGGATTAAAAAAATCACGCAATTAACGTTGACTTCACTTTCTCTTCTGAAATTCTTGATTCCACAGGTTCATTGCAATACGGATGAAACGTACGTTGTGCACTCAAGATTTATAATTTATTCTATTAAAAATAAATTAATTAAAGTAAAAAATTAAGTTTTCTTTTGGATGTCTCATTTTCGAAAAACAATGGCAAACGCAAAAAGAAATAGAAGAGACGTTTGAAACGTCTGCAAAATTCTTGAATTTAAAAATGAAAAATTTTACGAGAAATTTTTATCTTCTTCTTAATTTATGTCTTTTTCACAATATTGCATTAAGTAAATTTTATTATAATAAATATATATCTTCACAGTGTTCTGTATGGTTCATCGCAAACAGGAGAAAAACTTGTGTCTTATTGGATAGAGAATAATGGGACAGACAATAAGTCACAAAATTTTTTAACAAAAGTCAGCGAAATAAGGAAGCACATAGGTGCCAAATTTGAAGATGTAATATTGGCAGCTTTTTTTACCAGTATACACAAATATTATTTTCGTGTAAGTACATGTTAAATCTTCAAATGAAAAACAAATCTAAGGAGTTCTGAATTGTGTTTAAGTAATATCTAGAAAATTAGGATGTTTTTTTTAACAGTTACATTATATCGATTTGTTTTAAAACACCTTTAATAAACATGTTCTTTCTTTTATTTAGATCGACAAACCAGTGCCTGAAGCGTTAACAGTCATTCTCCCCACAAAAATGGCAATGCCCGATAAAAGTATAACGTTGGATAACAAGTTTTCGTTCGCTGTCCTACGGATTTGCGTTTCCAATGCCAATGGGCAGACAATTACCAAATCAAATCGGGATTCTCAATTTTTTCAGCGTCTTCAGGATGTCACAAAAGTACACAACAAAGTCAGAAATAGCTCAGATATTTTACTGAATTTTTGGATGATGAAATATCTGTTGGCGCTGTTGCCGATGAATATTTTAAGGGCTTCTGTTTTGGGTCACAGCACGATGGTCTTTAGCAATTTGCGCGGACCACCGAAAATTCGTATCCTGAATAATTCCTTGAGTAACATTGTCTTCTGGCTACCAAACAGGTATTGTACCATCGTTATTTTTCTTTAACAAATTCTAACAATAAATAAGAAAATTTTATATTGCGGCAATGTACGGATATGTTACAATTTTTTTCAGAAATACTACCGCTCTCGGTTTAACTCTGTTAAGCTACGGAGGCAACTCACATCTGTCTTTAATGGCTGATAAATCAATTGTGGAAAACGAGAAATATTTTATGGAACTTTTAGAAAATACAGTACAGGAAATAGATACTGCTTATAACAGTATTGTATTGTAATGCGTCTTTTGAAAACGTCATCTTCCAAAAACACCTACGAAAAGAGGTATGTAATGAGAATTTTAAATTATTTTCATAGATTTTATTTATATAGTAGCAATAAAATATTTCATCATTATATTATTTATATTCCCAAAAATTTGTATTTATAAAAGAAATCTCGTGTATTTTCAGGCATCGGTGTGTTTTAAGAAAGAAGCAAGAGTGTAATTGAGATATTTTATCTCTTTTATACAATACTTAATATATGATACATAACATGAGTTCATATTTTGTGCCAGTTATATAAATTGCTATATAATACGTTTATTAATATAAGTTTTTTACATAACAAAGCTATTTACAGCTATTTAATTTAATGTTTTCCATGAATTTGTTTAAAACTGTATTTTATAATTTTTTCTTTTAATTAAAGAATTCAATAAATTATGTATTGGACTCTAAATTATTTTATAAAAAACATTTTGTAAATATCCATAATTTTAACTCTCTGTTGTACAAATTAAATAAGCTTACAATATATTATTTCACCAATTCGTTCAGCATAAATAATACATTGTCTAAATATAGATCCGAATTCAGGAAATGAATAGTGGTCGCAATCAGTTATTACTGGGCATGAAACAGTCCCGCCTTTAGCAGCTGACATTTCCCGTCAATGGCAATGACGGTAGGTGGATGAAATGTAAAGAATAACTGCAGGAAAATCGATGCATATTGTGAAATGATGTAATACCACGCTGGTCACAAAAAATCATTTTAGATATTAAGAAACATAATGTGATCCTTGATTAATAATGATCCTTTTTTTCACAATAAGTAATTTTTCAATAAATAAATTTATTTAAAGAAGCAAAAGTTATATAGTGATTTTCATTGACTTTTTATTATAGTACTTTTTATATAAGTACAATAAGTAACATATGTTCTTTGCATGTTTACAGCATTCACTCCGTTTGTGCATAACTATACAACGTATTTACATCAAAATCTTTAAATTACATTATCTCTTTGGTATTGCAATCAAGCGTTCTTATGAATCGATCACACACGAGATGCACGATTCAAATTATAGAATCAACATTTTCTCACAATTCATCGATCAACGTATTATTCCATTTAACCATCCATCAATTCAAATAGCTTCAACAATTTTGTTTCCGTTGCACCGACATTTCGGAAGACGCGACCGCCATCCACTCGTTGGTCGCCGATTGGAACCACGTCAGACCTAAGGAATACCTGCCATTGAGATTGGCATGCTGGCAGTGACTGAACCACCATCCGCCACGATAATTGGCCGCGCAATCGGTAGTACTGATGTCCATGTCACGGTCCTTAGCGCTGAATGCCATGTCGTCCTGGTAGGAAAGCGCGTCAGTCGCATTGCCCGAATAACCGGACACATGAAGTCGATAACCAGTCTCCTCGGAGTCCACTGTGAAATGCTCGTAATCGGCGCGCCAATGCACGCCGTAGGTATCAGTCAGATCAATTCGCAGCCTGCTGCAGTTGTCGCGAGTGAGCCGGTGTAGCGCCTCGTTGCCGATCCAGAACTCGCTGACTGGTGAACCGAAACCGACCGAATACTCGTTCCAGGTGCGATCGAAGTCGACCGCGCCGTCAATCCTGCGGGCCACGACGATCCAGCCGGCACGGCAGGAGGCCAATAAGGGTGCCCCGGGACCTGGTGCTAACAGAGTCAAGCCGTCGCGCTCCTCGCAATTTCCCGGAAGAGAATCCACCATGAGACGATACTGATCCTCCACTTGTTCCAACTCGTGCGTGACGTTCACTGCCTTGGCCAGGTTCCGAGAAAGATCGAGACGACTGAGAGTCTCGTTCAAGGCGTTCAGATTCTTCCGTTGCACGTCGCTCTTTTCCTGCAGTTGGGACGCGCTGACGCTCAACGCCTGAACCGCTCGTCGCAGATTGCCGAGCTCTTCTCTAGTCAGCGACAATTCGGCCGCCTTTCGCGCCGCGTTTATTTCCAATCTGGCCAGTTCTCGTTTCACCTCAGAGCGATTGGTGAAAACTGCCTCTTCGAGCAGGCGAACCGAGTCGTATAGTCGTATCACCGACTCGTCCAGCTCATTCATTGATACCAGATCCCGGCTGGCGTTGGACATTCTTTTCGAAAGCTCCGCCTGTTCCAACTCGAGACTCCTCACCCGTTCCTCGAGATGTTCACGATCTTCATATACCACTCGTTTTTCCACCATCGCTCGCTTTCGCGCCACTATGGAGATCTTTCGCTCGACATTACGTAGACGTTCCTCGAAATGAGCACGATGAGCTAAAGCGCGGGAGTAACTGTGTCTTCGGGTTGACAAAGCCTCATGCGATCCGCTCACCTCATTGCGAAAGATATCGGCCTTGTTATGATGTTCCGATTTCTGCAGATCCTGCCGCTGGCCTGGAAGCGTGGACTCGCATTTCAGGGACTTCAACTCGATCTGCACCGTGCTTAACTGCAACAAATGCAAAAAAAAAGTTATAAGTTTTGCACTCTATAGAACAAAAAACGAAAATAAATGTATGACTGCTGTCTTGGCATCTATGATCAAAATTTTTATAAGCAAAACGCGATAGTCTTTTGAACGAGAAAGCCAATTGGCGAGACCATAAGTGATCGGAAAATCTTTCCGTTTCACAAAACCAATTCCTACCGATTCTCTTTAATCCATCGACTTTTTACAAGCGGTCCTTGCGTCGTATGCGTGACTGCACGTGTGTGTAATACACACGCGCTTGTGGAATGCGTGAGAGTAGGGCCACAGCTGTCGACTCGTGTGACTGTGGTCGCCAGCGTGTGTCAAATACCACAAACGGTAAAGATCGCCTATCGAAACTGGTACGCGAGATCAAAATCGAATTTCCAAATCCACTGCACAGTTATAGAATAGCTCCTTGTCAGAGGAGCTCAAAATTTTAATATTAATATAATAATTTTATATTATCTCATATTACTTAATACAATATATAATATTTATTTTTGATATTATTCATATTTTTTTTAAATCAAATTGAATTAAAGAGAGAAAGCGAACAATTTTTTCTACAGACAATATTCCATCATTATTTTTAACATCTCTGAAAAATATATGAAAAACAAAAACATTTTACGCTCTCACAAAATAATTTAGGCTGAAGGATCGCACGAAATAAATTTCAATTTATCAACTTTTGACGTTTCTATTCCGCCCAATGACCCAATTAACTCTCATTCTTGGCAAATCTGATTTTCATATTTTATTATTATATTCGACTCCTCATGACGATTGAGAGCTGAAAGTAGAAGCGTCCCGCAAAGGGCGGGAAGTATGCGTATTTAAGAGGAGAGAGGAGGGTAAGGCCGGTGGGCCCGAGGGGCATATGCGTGCGGCCCAAAGGAAAGGCCCGCTGCGCGGGCGAGGCGTGGTGAAGGGACGGAGCGGGAGGAGGTGGAGGTTGAGAAGCAGCTGCCAAGCGGCAAAACGAGAAACAGGAACCGAGCAGCTGGCCGCCCCGTGCAAGGCGCAGGTGCACCGGCCATACATCCCCCTTTCTTCTTCCTGCCGTAAATACTAAATGGTAGCGGCAGCCGTTATCTGCGGACGCCTGTTGTCCGCGCGCGGACGACCGCATGCCGGGCCCTTCGGCGTGTGCACGTATATAGAAATGCGTATGCTCGCCAGCCATCACGAAATCGATCTCGAGCCATTGTGCGCGAGAAAATCGGCCGTGATCACCGAACGGCACGCGCGCGTCTAGGAATTTCAGCGAACCCGCCGGGGGCGGCTTTGAAGAACGTGTGCAACACACACACACACACACACACACACACACACACACACACACACACACACACACACACACACACACACACACACACACACACACACACATCTTTTTATAGTAGGATGTGTTATTATTTCGGAGATTTTCGTACATACGCAAGATAAGGAAAATCCGACTCGACCATAATTTAATTATCTCAAATACATTTCACGATTGAGCACTGAATTACGTTACCCTCTTATAAATTAAAATAAACTATTCCCGATAAAATATCGATAAATTTACCCTCGGATATAAAATTTTATTCTCAGAATAATTGAGAAATGAAAAATCAATTCGTTGCTCCAGAATAAAGTATACCTTTTTATATTTAAATCTCATCCTCTGATTTCATGTTGATTTTAAGCGCGTTGCAAAGCAGTACCACCTGCCTATCATCTTCCACTTTTTTTTCCCTTAGTACTCAACTTCATCCTAACATCTGCGAAAAGAAGAGAACTCACCTGACTGCTGACATCCGCGCAGGAGCGGGACAGAAGGCTGGCGCGTTCCTTGGTCGCGGCGATGTCGAGTCTGATGGTACCAAGGGTGGCCTCGATCTTGGTGATTCTTCCCCCGAGGTCGCGTACACTCCTGCCGACCTCGGCAACGTCACCCCTCAGCAGAGCCAGCTCGCTCCTCATCCTCGAACGTTCGGCGAGCTCCTCGCTGGCGTTCCGCGTCCTGAGCACCTCGGCGACCTCGCTTTGCAACTCCGTCACGGCGCTGCCTAGCCATCGCACCCTCAATCGCTCGTTCTTCGCCTCGTTGCCGCTTCCGCCGCGCAGAGCGTTCACTTCCTTCCTGCACGTGCGAGGGGATAGCTCGATTATAGCGCGTTTTTGTGGTATGTCCCCCCATCATTAAAATGATCACGTCTTTTCTTTGTGTATAATAAAAACAAAAGAGGAACAACCGAAACCACATTATACTTTTAAAATAAACATGAAGCAAAAATTCGTATTTTCATATCTCTTATTATCAAAGTCATTGTGCATATATTAAATCTTTTATTAATTAAAATGCAAAACGTTATTCATTTAAATTTTGATTGATAAATTTTTTGTGTAAAACATACGTAAAAATTTTTAAGAAGAATATTTTATATCCTAGCGTTTTTTAAAAAAAGCCGACCTGACGGAAACCTTAGACTTCAATTAACTTCTAAGACTTCTCGATAATGCCATAATTATGCACTTGATGCGTTCTAGTATATCATATTGCAACGCACCACGTGCGAGAAGATGATATAATAAATTACATTCTTACCTGAGTTGCTTCACCTCGTTTCTAAGAACGATGAGTTCTGTATTCTTTTCCATTGCTTGTTTCAGACTCTCCTCCAAAGCATTATAATCCTCCTGTCGATGGTCCAGCAGTGCGCCCACTTGCTCCTGCAGCAGCTTGATCGTACTATTAAGATCTTCGTCCGCGCGCGTGCCGGCGATCAACGTATTTACGACGATAATCGCTGATAACAGCCACAGTAGGTTCGCCATCTCCGTCAATCTCCCAGAGTTCTTGAATCCTTCGATTGTCTTGCGTTATCTTCAATCGAGATCTCTTGAGGCTTCGCAATTCATATATTTCTCTTCGGGGAGGGATGTACCCTTTTTATTTTATAAACCCTCGTGCGAATACCGTGTGCGTGTCGTGAAATGTTATTATTTTTTATCATTCACACATATACACACACACACACACACACACACACACAGAAATCCTCAGCTTTTATACTCAAAGTAATTAACGAATGTTACTTTCAAATTTAATGTTTTTTCGCATTTTTTCTTAATTTAATCAAAAACTCTCATCCAGAGATTTTGTCTTTGAATTTTTTCCCCGATGAGAATTTTTTATTTAATATCAACGATGATTCAACGAGGATTTATCGTGATTTATACACGACGTGATTTAGCCGACTTTTATCTCCCTGATGGTGAAATCGTTGAAACGATTCGAGTCGCGGAGTCACGAGTTGCGGAGCGGGGATTGTCGCAGTGTGCTTGACCGCCTCTCGAAAGTCTACTGGCGCGGCCGAAATGGTGTACGAGTTTTATATCGGCCCTTGGACAAAGGTCCCGGTGTGGAGCAGGTGTTCGGTAACACCAGGCCCTCGTCAGATATATATATTGTCTCGCGCGCTGCTATCCGTATCCCCATATGCCTGCAATACGGGATCCCTACCCCCGTTCGTATCCCCGAGATGAGTGCGAGATATCGTAATAGATACGTCGTACGAGATCGCGATATGATAAATGCGTGAGTACAGGGCGCCGGGTAATAAGAGCGTCTGGCGAACGGGGCGAGATTTCTGACTGAGCAATCAAAATCCTTTTTGCAATAACATTTGATTGGAGATCCAACTATGTCAGAGAATTTCTAGAAATTTGTTTGCTGCTAATTTTCTAATATTTTAGCAAATATTTTTCAATTAAAATTCTGTGAGCCTATCTGAAAGATGGATTGGATGGATTAAATTTTTTTATTTCATTTTCATCAGGACGAGTTTAAATGCGAATCGCAGAAATGTATTATACGAGCGTTTTGAATGGGGAATATGGACGTTTGTTGTCTAATTGAAGAAAACGAGAGAAGAAAACGGCCGACTCGGCTTATCGGGTAAAATAATTAATAATTTATTGAAAACAATGTCCAACCTATTGAAGTCTACATTTACGGATATGGTAACGCGTTAGTAGATTATTCAATTGGAGTGATGGAAGTACGGCTACGGTGTTTATGTGTTTGAATCCTTTTGTATGACAAAATGTTGGATGTAACAGGGAAATTTCCACACACGTACAGACGCGTGTAAAAATAACAATCCTCCCGTTAAATATAATGTCACTCGTTACCGAATAACGTTTTCACAATATCTCTTCGAACGATGCTAACGATGCTAATATTATCGGATATTCCATGAGTAATAATATGGCAGAAGATGGCACCGAGCTAATTATTCCTGTAAAGGCGAATAATCGATTCAACGAACACGATAGATTCGATTAGATCTAACAGTTTTTGCAATATTATGGCTTGAATACCATAAACGCCACGAAAATTATGCTGCAATAAAAATGATTAATAATCCATATTCACTTGCAGCCTTTGCGAAATATATTCGCGTGAATTTAGCGTTTACGGTATTCGAAGTACGACCCCGCAAAAACCCGCCAACAATTACAAAGAGTAAATCGGATTAAAATTAAGAACTTCCACGATACAAAGGAATAAAAAATGATAGGTGAACTGAAAAAAATTTTTAAGAAATACGATAGTAAAAAAATGCACGAATCGGCGAAGTTTTTTATTTTAATCCGATTAAAGTACCGGTCAACCCCGTTACAATATACATTATGTAAATAATTTAGCGTTTACTGTTTTGCGGCACCAAATTTACATTAATTCGCATTTGCTCTACGTTGCAAATCTAGACAACAATGCACTTAAAGAATCATAGAATTATTACACATACAAAAAGATACTCTCAATAAAACTCTTACTATTAATCGAGAACTAAAGATCTATAAATAAATTTTATACAAATATATGACGATTTGAAATCAACATAAAAAGTTCAGAAAAATAACTTTTGTCTATTTAAACAACATTACATAAAGAATATAACAATAAGAAATACAAAATTCGCTTCTGATTCTATTTTAATTTTTTTGCGTCATAAATAATATTCTAAATTCTGTTTTCACAACAAATTTTTTAAAGTTACTTTATAAAAGATTGTAAAAAATTTTTTGGACTCGATAAAGATCTTATAATCCCTTAAGTGCTACTCTTGGAAGAGACATACCTACACTTAATATATTCGAGAACAAAACATGGAATTTCTATTTCTTACCAACAATTAATTGAATCTCAGAATATCTCTCAAAAATCTCAATCAAATAAAAAAAATCTCAATGAGAAAAAAATTAAAAAATAAACATAGAAACATCACTTTCTTTTTGTCGTCATATTGCTACGTCCCTGGTCGAGGTATTTCGTATGCCTAACACGTGCCAGTCGCGTGTCCCCAATAAATTCTCTAAAGAATCACGTTACTTAAACGCACCCCAACGTTCAGCATCTGCTATTCTGTAACAAGTACTACATACTTAGCACGTACTGCGGAAGTTAATCCGCGATTACACAGCCAGAAACTTAATTTCATACAATGTGCGTACGGGACGCTGGAACTGGATTCATCCCTTAAGTCTGGGCAGATCCGTACGTGCCGGTCGGCGGTCGGTAAAGTCTGGGCAGCGTCAGAATCTGCAAACTGTTGAACGCATATTTACGCACACCGATGTTTTTCCACGTATTTTCCCGGCGGCAACCCTCGCTAAAACAAAAGAAAGTAACATAAAAAAAAAAAGAATTCAAACATATTTAATAATTTTTTAAAAGATAAATATAATTTCGGAATTATTCGCGATACAAGCAATTATTCAACGAAAATAGATATCTGTACAAATATAGTATTATTTTATCGAATTCAGCTCCGTTTAAATATCGTTCTTTTTCTCTTTTTACATTTACCTTCGCATACAGTCGAGAGCTCTCATATACTCGTGTTCAGCCAGATGATATTCCGATGATAATATATTGACTTGTTCGAGAGTGATCGACATACCGGTTCGATCTTTCGCACTTTTGCAGCTAGTAAATCTCAAACCGCGCATTCTTCGGCATATCTGTGAAGATAATTGTAAGATTTCCACATTCTTATTAACTTTTTCTTGCACACACGTCTTTAAATTGGCCATCATATCCGATAATGTATGGCCCAAAATTGACCTAGCAGCAACTGAAAAAGAATATATCAATTTTAATCTGTCGACAAAAAATATCTAAACGACACAAAAATCTGAAAGCCATTCCAAAAATATCTATTAAATTAAATGTTTAATTAAATCTTCAAGATTAAATTTTCAATTTTTTAAAAAATTTTTCAGATTTTTATGTCTTTATAGTAAGTTTAATTAGTTTGATGCTCACAGCGCGTAGATGCAGGTTCCGTAGGTAAATTCAATTTTTTAAATCTCAAATAATATTCATTCAATCTGTCGAAGTTGTCCATGTTACTTTTCTCCTGTGGTTTTGTAGTACCGAGGCTCTCAGCTAAAGAAGCCATTTCGTTAATACCAACGTTGAAAAACACCGGAGTTACATTAAACGATAACGTTTGTCTCGAAGAGGGCACTAATGGTAAGAGAGAATAAATCGCATCCGGAACCGGAAGTATAACCGTCAGTGCACTCCGCGACCCTACTACACGCGGTAGAGGAAGCTGAAACGCATTAGACTTTCCTTCGACTCTGCAAGAGAGACATTTTGCGATTAGACAAGATTTCCTTTTAATGTAACTTCAGATAATACATGTAAATTAGATTTATCTACCTGGGTTGAATGCCACATCTCGACAGAGTGAATGTGACAGTGTGTGTATCTTCAACCGCTACGGCCATGTCGCCCCACATGTCTATCTCGTCTCCGTAATAGCTAAGAAGGCCTTCGAAGGAGACCAATGGTCCCAGAGTTGTGAGTATTAGCAAAAACATCGGATCGGGCCGTTGACACCATAATTTTGCCATTATGCCGGTTACTAAGGCAGTTAACTGAAATTTTACAGGATTATTCCGAGATGTTCTCTGTATTTCTCTTTCATCATGCTGCATAATATAAGTGAGAATGATTTACCGCTTGACTGAAACAAACGTCTCGTCTGTATCGGACGTTGCACGCGCGCTGCGCCGTTTTCGAGTCTTCCTGTACACGAAATACAGAATGCGTCAATCTGGCAGTTTTCAACAGCCCGTCCATGGCTTGCCGCAGCTTCTTCATGCTTGGTCTAAGCTCACTCGTCCAATCGACGATGGACGCAAAGTCTAGGCCTTCAGTAAACTTATTTCTCTGTCCCGAATTACTTTTGATCACGCGCGTCATTGAATCGACCGCTTGGCACACTTCATTGGAAGACGAGTTACGATAAGTATCGGTTATCCCTGACAATGCATTATAATGTCGCAGGTTTTTACTACGTCTTTACTATATTTTTGCAATATGTGAAAAGCATTACGTTACCTTCCTTTGCTTTAGAGAACGCTGGTTTCTCCACTCCCGGACTGGACTGTTGCCGCTCGTTCGACTCGTCCAGTAATTTGTTCGACTCCTCGCACTTAATGCCGTTTTTCGGCTGGATTGTAACGACTTCGATATTCTGCCGATTGCTCGGCAAGCAACCCTTCAAGCTCTGCGATCTACCCAAGCTGCTTTTGTTACGCAGCCGCACTGCCGGACTGCTACATCTACCGCAGAGAAACTTCACCTTAGAAACGAGGCACATGACACTCGCTTCGATATTCAACTGAGTAAGATCCCACGGCTCTGGTTCGTCCGTAGGTTTATAATAATTCGCGGACGGCGAATTGCACATCTTCTGAGTATCCAGGAAACGTTTACAGGGATCTGCGTCATTCTTCAAATCTTCCTTCTCGTCATCATAACTTTCTTTCTTTTCGTTATCGGGATTTCGTTGAACACTCTCATCAATATCCACTTCTATTTGCTTAGGATCGTCTTCTACATCCGGAAATATTACGAAATTCTCTTCCGCAACTTCGCTCTCGCTGGCGTTACTGTTGGGCGCCTCGTTTCTCGAATATGCTATGAAAGCATATTCGCCATTTCTGATGCCGTTCTTCGACCAGATATCCTGCACACACTCGGGAGTGTCAGGAGTGACGAAATCGTCGAAATCAGGGCTTTTTAAATCGAAATTGAGCTGCTGTGTAATCCGTTTAAATGGCGATAAAGATTGATTGGCCTTGAAGTCCAGCGTCAAAGTATCGTCCGAAGACGTCGTTGAGTTTTCTTGAACTTTCGCGACTTTGTACTCTTCCAAAAACGTTAATGCCTCCTCCACCAAGCCGGGATCCCAGAGACTAAGTAAGATCCTAGTTTTTGTGATCATATCTTCACATATTGGCAGCATGCCACTTGTTTGCTTCTCTTTGGCTAGTTTCATCAAGGATCTCATTGCTTCCACAACATCTCGACGTAATTGTTTGATAGCTTGGATCGCATCGTGCGCCATTGTAATTTTGGATGTTCCCTGATATAGTTGATTGCTTCGCATAGGTGATTCCTTTAATGCCTGTACCAACCTGCAAAGGAAAATGAAATTATTTAAAAAACTATAGTCATATTTTATATAATTTAATGATTAAATAAAAAAAAATATATACTGCGTACCTTATGAGTCCACCGTTTTTGCTTTTGTGGGAATGGGCGGTAAATGCTCCTACACTAATAAAATCATAAAATCCACACTTGTTCAATGTGTCGTTGTGGACCCACATTCGTTGAAGGTGTAAATTCAAAGGCGCAAATTCGAGAGTGCGATCGTTCTTTCGTGACGATTGCTTGAAATAACTTCCTGAAATACAAATTACCAAACGTGGGAATGTTAGAAAAAGTACTATAACTTAATTTTTTTTCATAGATGTTCACCTTTGTAGGCGGCTAAGTTTTCTTTGGCTTGGGAATATAAATGTAACAGGTGAAGATGGCGATCGAGCAACTCTATTTGCTTTGTATGCCAAGGCTCCCTCAATTCTCCCATTCCAGCTACCTCTTGTAACAATTCCTTTTCTTCTTGTATCCAAATACCCCTGTAATTTGTTGTTACGTTGTTATTTCACTCCAATTTTACGTTTCTAACATCTATAACATGATGCGATATGAATCATGCTCACAATAAATGTTGGGGAAATTGAAAACAGAGTTTGCTCTCTGCCATGATCTCGTGTACGCATATATCACCACCTAATCCGGAGTGGAATCTACAATAATCAAATCAGATGACAATAAAATCTCTATTAATTCAGATTGTTAGTAAAAACTTACCTATAAGTCTGCACAAATGGATTTGCAAAGAGTAGTTTTAACTGGCCTTGATGTGGGAACTTAATTTTTGTCCCTAATCTTGGAGGTAATGACTGCGAGCGTCTGTGCGAAGGCAGCTAAAAAAGAATACCGAATAAAATAGTAACAAATAAATATCTGTAATAACGACAAATCTAAAAATATTTTCTGATTGAACGACAACTTCTTACTTGTTGTTGATTGTTGTTGCTATATACTGCATTTCGCGAAGGTGTACTCTCTGTGCTGTTCCCTTTGTCCTCGGCTTCCAGATTCCACACATTAATCGTTAAAAATCCGACTGTCGTTGTTTTCGCTGATTTTAATGGTATTCTTAATCTAAAAATAAAAAGAGATTAAAAATACACAGTTAAATAGTTTTAATAAACAACAGCGCGTTTAAAGAAGTCATAATACATTTTCTTAAATGTAAAAGTTTAATACGGAAAAGTTTAATACGTACATCAAATTTAAAATTTAAAAGTTTTGCGATTTTGGAGATTTTTTATTTCGTTTAATAATACATTGTCAAATTAGAATTACCTAGGAGTGTCTTGCACTGTACTGAATGTCACTATTGCACTTCCTATCGGAGTCGCGGTCTGGCTGACTTTTTCCCTGACGTCGTATGCGGTAATTCTAATTTTCGTTTCAGTAGTTAAGCCGTCACTAGCCCGAAAACTCACCGTAGTTAAGAAATTCGGATTACTACTTCGCTGAAATAAGCCACGAGAAAATTGTTAAAAAACTGCGCAACTTAGAAAACCGAGAATTTTTGAAAAATTTTCATTTACCTCTACGACTTCTGTTCGTGCATACTTAATCCAAGTTTTGGGAGATTTCGACTGTACATCTATCTCTAAAACAGGAGTAGGTGGTCGGCCATGTCCATCGCATAATAGATTATCGCAGGCTAGCGATATCTCGCACATTGGTACTTCTGCCGGATCTGAGGAAACAAATTCAACGTGAAAATAAATGTGTGTATCAAATTTTACGCTTGACATAATATAAAGTGAATTGACATTATGATATAATTTTATAGAAGATAATTTAGATAATTCAATTTCAACTTTAATGTTTATTTAATTCTGCTTCTAGCATTAGTCTATTAATATAAGGAGATAATTATACATTCAAAAAAATTAATTATACATTCAAAATTGTACAATAAACGATATACTAAATATACATTTATATGCTTATCTAAACGAGGAAAAATTTCGAATTTCAAGACTATTAAAGGCGTTCGCCAACCTGTGAAGGTCCCACGTTGCAGCCGCAACATCTGTATGTCGGTGTCGTGCTTGTGCCCGCTGAAGGCCTCGATGCGCTGTCGCAACGACAACAACTGACTCCGCATGCATTCGTAGCTGGCCAGCTGCAGTGCCTGCAACCAACTGTCCCGTTCCTCGGCCGTGTTCGCGCCTAACTGTTGAAACAAGCCTCCGTCGAAAACTGCAACATTTTTCCTTCTGTGCTTTTTGACGTCGCCTCGCATAGCATGCAGACAATGACAATGATGATGACGACGACGACGACGACAACGACGACGACGATGATAGATGCGATGCAAGGAAGAGGAAAAAGAAAAAGGCAGAGAGGAGAGGAAAATAGCATTTACGGATGATACTTGCCTATGCTGAATCCGTAAGGAACGTGGTTGCTGGGCGGATCCACCCGGACCGTGCACTGCTCCAGTATGATCACTCCCAGCGGCTCCGACCACTGCTCCCGCGATTTGAAATAGAACAGAAGGTTGCCTCGCAGTCTGCACCATCGTTCGAGACTTACTGCACAAGAGAAGCAGAGCAGCCGCGGCTTAAGCGCAATCATCCGTACGCTAAAAGATTTTCGTTCGGGAGGGGGCTCCCATGCACGAGATAACCCAGGCGGCAGAGGAAGAGACGAGGAAGAGGAGGACGAGGTCTCTCGCGTTACTCCGTCCCTTGCTGGCTCTGGTAGCGATTAGCAGCGATTATTTTTCAAGAGATTTATCAAGAGAGCAACATGGTCACAACATGAAATGTTAATCCAAATGAGACGCAAGGTCTCAGTTAAAGATCGGCTGCGACATTAGATCTGTGTAGCAAACTCATGTCTATTAATCGGCAACGAGATAATATTTCCACTGTAGACAATTTTTCTTTCTTAAATTTCGTAGAGAGTATGGTGATACATTTGATATAAAGATATGACTCGTGCCCTTTCGGGAGGGAACAAGTTTTCTCGTGAGAGACCAACCGTCCTTATTATCGTTCCTCGTCCTTGATCTCCCCTTTTCTTCCCCTCCGTCAAAATCAATACGATCGACTCGATCTTGAACTACAGGTATTTACGATTACAGGCACTGCATTCGAATCAAAGCTCTTACGTGCTATAAACATATATAAATATCGAATGTGCATCTACGCATGCTAAATCTTTCCTGTCATTTTCTGCTTGGAATTTAAAGCAAAGCATGTGACGCGAAGACTTGCAAATTGAATCACTATGAATTTTTATCATTTTTATAAAAGTTTTTATGTGAACAAACAAACGTGCAAAGCATTCCATTCCACATGCAATTGACAATCGATTTATCGAAAGCATGTTTAGTATATAACAAACGCATTTTATATTTTATTAACTTTTTTAATAATTGTACAATCGACATTACATTCAAATACCAATTGCTAATAAATGATTTAAATATCTACAAAATGATAAATATATTTCAGTATACAAAAAAATTTTAGAATATTCAGAATAAATGAATATAATTTAAAATCAGTTTCACGCTTCATTTATCAATTAATAACACACATTTGATGCAATTATTTTTCAATTATGTTATCTTTTGCATCTATCATTAGCCTGTGACTTGTTTTAAAATCACACACGACACACATCATGTCCTGACGCATGCGCTTTAAAATATATTCATGATTATTGAATTTTAAATGTTCAGATTTATATTTATGCTATAAGAGGTCAATGACTATAAATACATAAAGCAATTTAAAATCACTATACACAAAATTAAAGCCACATGCCACAGAATATGATACATGCCAAGATTTTTAAACAAGCCTTAAATTATAGAAACAAAGGAGTAATTGCAAATTATATTATCAGATGTTTATTATTAATTGTTAAGTAAAGTTGTTAACTGAAACTTTTATATTTATTTATTCTAAATATGAAAATATGAATATACTGAAGTTTCTTCGTCTACCAGAATATATTCGTCATTTTATATAAGTAACGTAAATCAAATAAAGCAAATCGTAAGACATCAAACTGGAAATTGACGTCAACTAATTAACATCAATCAATTTTCTTTCTGGTTACTTTCTGGTAAATCGAGGATCAAGAGATCAATAATAAGTACAACGTCACATCGAAAGAGCCAGTTAGTAATCTCGCTAGAAAAAGTGATCCGGCATGTTAGACGCGATAGAATAGTGATATTAAATTTTACACAGCTGGAAGCTTCGATATTCCATTCATTCGTCAGATCACCCAGCTTTTGTTACAGTACACGCACAATCGATTAAATACGAAGATTAAATTCGCTGAAGCGTGCGTCGAATCATTTTTGCAGGTGTATTTTGTTAAGCGCTGAAGGAGATGTCCACACATGTTAATCGAGATTAGTCGGGCCGTCAAAGAGCGTGTTCATCGCGTTGAAAGTCGTGATGTAGGAGCGTGGAGTTGGATACCAGTTAGTACGTATTACATCATAGCAAAATACACTCGGATAATGTACCTTTGCTCGCGCCGGCGGTAACGCAATTGAGATCTCGTAGGCTCTTATGTGACCTCCTTCTCTGATTTTTGTTCTCGGGTTTTTTACCTGAAAATACATATTGTACGAGATGCTGATAGGTGCCACAACGACAAACCTACACAACAAGGTAAAAGGGACGACAACGGCGAGCGATCTAATTTATCTGTCGCGCGTGTCAGGGCGTGTCGATTTAAGCCGATGAAAGTGAAACGACCTGTGGATTTTCTCTGCTATCAGTGTTTTATTAATATCTCGCTAATGAATGGTCACTCCTTATCACTCTGATAATAATTACACGATGAACAATAACAGTTTTACTCGATCGTAACTTGTCCGATTCTATTGTTTGTATTATAATGACGTCGAAAATTATCTTCCGAAAATAGAATCATTCGAGGAAGTTTCATATTTCCGCGGTTGGAATATCTGGTGTCTTACACGATTATTATTGTTTTGATACTTTTTTACTCTGATGTTTTAGTATTTAATACCAAGCTTTTCTATCTTTTCAATATTTTTTTCCAGTATCAAAAACAGAATTTTAACGATTTTCCGACTTTAATATTGCATCAGAATAAAAACGGTAATTGAGGAAAAGTTAGAAAATTCTAAAATTGTATTTTTAATATGAAAAAAAAGATATTAATTTAAAAAAATAGATATGCTCAGCAATGTTTGATATTTCTAGTGCCATGTAACTTCGGATAATACGTAGTAATCGAATAGAGACTGTTTTCTACGTTAATACCTTCGCAAACTATCTCTAATGCTGACGTCATTCCAAGACAAATATTCTGCTTCGTGCAAAGCCATGCCGCAATGCGAAACAAGACACAGAGAAACTGGATAAATTATCAAAGACTCTTCGCCATTATCGGACAACTCGAATGGGACAGTTCGTGGGAGCTGATAAACTCATTTCGTGCAACACATTTTGCTATATACTTATATTAAACGTCTATTTAATAAATCACAACGCAAGGGATATGCGCCTAAATATCAAACAGTGAAGTCCAATCAATAAAATAGAAGAGAAACATCGAGCAATGTTGATTAAACGATATCCTCTCTCTCGCTAAAATAAAACCTGAACCAAATGCGGTTTTTTTTTTACTTTTAACATGTTTAGCAATCTGAATAAAATAATTCTGTAGAGCTCAAACGAAGAACTTTTGCATCATGACGCTTTATCATCAAGCTTTGAAGACGCACGGCATAAAATCATGCATTAGTTCGTTCGCCGTGATAAAGATCCTGCTGTTACTGATCTAAGAAATATCCGTCGCGTTTCGAGAACTCACTTTCCGTTCTGCGGAAGAAGCCCTCTTGCCGTTCTCTTACGTACAAAATACCCTCCTTCTCGAATTTTTGCGAGGGCTGTGTAGCCAGAGTCAATAGTTCCTGCTTGTTGAATCTCATCTTGCACAGGCGATCAAGCTAGCATATTTACAGTCTCCGCTGCTTATCCGTCTCTTATATACTGAAAGTTGAAACATGCGAGACATCCTTTAAAAAAATGTTCAAATATCTCACAGCGATTTCGTAAACTACAGATTTACAGACGATACAATTTTTATAACAAAAACATTTTTCTTGTGGAACTGGAACACATCTCCCTGTTACGCATCTACATTTGCTTTCATAGCAAGAGAGAAAAATTCAGAGAGAAAAAATTTTCACTTAAATTTAATTAAAAATTTTTGACAATGAGTTAATTAACAAATAAAGTTGATTGACCAAAAGACAACTGTTAGAAATTTCTTGATATTGAATGAGAGGGCTCGCAGGGAGAACGGAAAAACATACCATTTTTACAGATAGATCACTTTCGTTCGCGGGCCCTCTTTCGCCTGGCATCTCGACATCGTTTCAGCACTCTGAAAGATCAAAATACACCTGAGATGAGAGGCTGAGAAGGCAACGGTGATCGCCGGCAGCATTCCACGGGATTTCCTCTCACCTGCACTCACGCTCGCGTTGCACGTCAGTGACTGAATAAGAGGTCGACGGGAACTTCCACTTGCACGCCTGTTTTCTCGTGGATCGACCGTCCACAGGCACATCGGGGAACCTCTGTCAAAAATCAGATCCGCTTCGCGCCGTCGCTTCCCGTGGACTGCTCATTCCCGTCGCATCGTCGGTGCGGATCAATCTCGGGCTGATGGGATGCACGTGCGACATGGAGAACGGAATCAGTCGATCGGTCGGTCGGTCGGTCGATCCGATCGAACGACAGCGCGTGGCAACGTTAGCGCATCGCGTGTCGGACGCTAAGACGCGATGCGAGGAGCGAACATAGCGAACGGCGATGTGTCGGAACAACGAGCATCGCGATGCGATTGCGTGACTCCGAGTGGCGACAGGAGGCCGTGCGTTCAGGGTGGTTCTCCTTCCTCACTTTTCGGACAGGCTGGCGCGATCTGTCGGAGATCGTGAATAAATAGATTACCGACGATCTCTAAAAAAAGATAAATAAGTAGGTTGTACGGCTGTATTTAAATTTTTACGATTTACACTTTTGAAAAGCAGCGATTCCTCGCAGTCTTGGAAAAAATTATTCTTAAAATTCTAATGCGATTTAATATCCAATCGCTTGCCAATATGTATTTTCTTTTGATGTCTCAGTTTTCAGTCTTATCTTTGCTGAAACTTGAAATTTAAAATTGTTGAAACACAATTCTCATGTTTATTAATATTAATTATATAAGTCTTTCGACAAATAAATATCAAATCATTAAATTGATAAAAAAATGAATGTGAAAATTTATAATTTAACTAAATTAAATTATAAATTAAATAATTAATATGATTATCTTATGTAAATTAAATTATAGAAATTAGATATATGATATTTATTCTTTTTTCTTGTTAGTATTAAAGGTGTTTAAATGCCCGGCGAAATTATTAAGTCATCTAACCTAACCTGTTCAATCTAACCTTTTCGTCGAGATCTCTTGTATTAAATAACCAAATAAAGGTTAAGTCGAAGGCATCTTCTGCCCGTGGAAAATTTTCAAGAAAAAGCTGTTCGTTAATAACAGAATAATAAACAGAATGTATCATTGAAGTTTCGCTCGCGTGAAGCACGTGAATATATTGTCACGATATGTCTGTTAAGCTTTTTCGTTGTCTCGCCAGCAATCTTTTAATTCCGAGGAGTCAGCATGTCCGTCACGCACATCGATTGCGTGGAAAACCACCTACGATCGCGCGTAGCCTGAAGCAGCGGCTTGAACAGCTCAACTGGAAGGATCCAACGTTGAACTTCAGAGTCAACATCGGCTACGCGATCAAAATCAACAAGCGCTCGATAACAAATGCCTGGACAAAGGAGATCATAGCACGTAGGAACGACGCCGAACTGGAGAAAGCGGCGCGCACTAAGAAACTACTGGTGGACCTGCAGACAGTGAAAGAAGACTGGCTGCGAATCGATGGATCATCTCATATTCACAGATTGGCGGATCATTACGGTATCTACAATGACTTGTACGGAGACGCCTACTTTATGCCGATAGTTCCGCTGGACGTGAGCTATAAGCTAGAGGATGACAAATGGGTCAAGGTTTACACCGGCAACGTGATCAAGCCGAGCGAAGCTTCTAAGGCACCCAATGTGACATATAATTCTGAGGATGAATCATTGTGGACCCTGATAATGACCACGCCGGATGGTAATTTGACTAGTACGAAGAATGAATATTGCCATTGGTTTATTGGCAACATTCCTGGCAATCGTTTGAAGGAGGGAGAAGAATTGGTGAATTATTTGCAGCCAATAGCACCATATGGCATTGGGTATTGCAGATATATCTTTGTACTTTACAAACAGGAGGGTCGCATTGATTTTTCAGAATATAAGAGAACTAATCCCTGTCTGAGTCTTCAGGAGCGTGACTGGCGAACATTAGATTTTTACAGGAAATATCAAGATCAATTGACACCTGCCGGCTTGGCATTCTTCCAGTCGGATTGGGACTCCTCGCTCAAGGAATTTTATCACAACACACTGAATATGAGAGTGCCGGTTTTGCGGTATGACTTCCCTAAGCCATATATAAAGAAACAAGTATGGTTCCCAATAAAAGAACCCTTCAACATCTATCTGGACAAATATCGCGATCCCAAGCAGATCAACAAGGAGTTCCTGTTAAGGAAATTGAAGAAAGTTCATCCATTCAATGGTCCAGAGCCACCAAAGAAGTTCCCGCTCGGCCATAGAGAATCTTATTATGTACCTTCTTGGTTGAAATTCGAGATAATCAAGAAGAGGCTGGGATACGGTCGCGTTAACAAACTCGATGAATACTAAATTGATTTCTATTGATAATGCAGCATATTGTACAATAAATAGAAACTGTTTTCAATCATCACATTTTTATTGTAATGAGACCTGACATGACAAATATTTATTCTGGTTTTAGATGCGCTTCTAAAACCTGTCTACTATGTTGCTTGATATCTGCCCGCGTCGGGACAGTAACATCGATTATCTCGTGCTCAACCAGTAACCCTAAAATTGTGTGTGGCTTGAGTGTCGATAAGTTTATCAATGAGTCAGAGATGAAAAATAGAACATGGTTTACCAATCGGTTCCTCTTCACCGGTTCCGAATATCAAGCCGGAACTGTAATTTGATACGTAGGTATGATAGCGATCCCGGGCTTCATCCTCTTTCTCCAGATGGAGATCAAAGTTAGTACTAATTTCGAAGAGAATGCCAACCTTTCGGCTGACTTTCGACAGCAACACCAAGACTGAAATATCATTATTGACACATTCCGATCGATAACTCAAATTCATTTCTATTAATAGAAATTAATCTTTAATCTTGGCTTAACTTATTCTTTATTTTTTCTAATTTTTAAAATTAAAGAAAAATAAAAGATAAATTAATCCGAAAATGAAGTTGATCTACATTGATAGAATTAATTTTAAGTAACAGAGAACAGTTATTCCATATATAATTTATAATAATTATATAATAATAATTTCTTCATTTACCATCGGTGTCCACTTTTTCGAGCTCTTCTTCCACCTCTTCTTTATCATTGGTTATCATCATCTCCTTCTTATTTCCATCTTTAACTGGTTTCTTTACAATCTTACTGATGGGTTTGACGAAGAGCAATATTGTGTTCATACTCTGTAAGGCCGCTCTGATATTCATAAGTAATTCGCCACAAGTTTTTATCTGTTCTTTGAGGTCTTTTTCACGTTTTTTCTCGATTTCGAGTTGCTCTAACATATCATGTGCATCATTTATCTTGTGCCTAAGGTTTTTAAATAGTCAAACATGTTTAATGAGACAAAATAGAAATGTATATACCTATCAGTGAATTATCAATAATTAATATTCTTTTTTAGTACATTAATTATATTCTATATTTCATGTATATTACATATTACATATTAATTATTTACTGTTCTATTGCTTTTGTGGAATGCTTGAGAGTTTCCAGAACGTGCAGAGCTTGAATTTTTGTATTCAACAAAGTGTCACGATTCTTTATATTGACGTCCAATCGTGCTAGCAAAGCTCTCTTCTGTTCGAACTGATTTTCAAGTCTGATTGGGAGATGGAAATATGTTTTATAAACATTTTATAGAAGCTATATTTGAAAAAGACATACACCGTAAGACCAAAGTGGAATACCTTGATAACAGGTCATGATACGATCGCACGAGTAAAGCATCTGTCACTTGTGCGCAAATATCTTCCAATTGCGCTAATTGATTTTCTAATATTTTATTAGCGAACATGTCGATATCTTTCTTCGCGAAAATGTGATCGCTCTAAATAAAAAAAGGATAGGCTTAATTTTTTCTATAAGAAAGTCTCATTTAGAAGCTTTGTAAACAACATCATATCATATCTACTTTACATGTGAATTCTATAACTTGAATACTTTTTACCAGAATTTTGTTGCAGGTGTCAATCTCTCTTTCACAATTTTTGCAAAATCAAAAGCGATCGATAGATCTGTACGATCTCATTTGCAATTACTCACCTCGACACGCACCAATGACTGCGCGAAAGCCCACAGATCCTTCACCTGAGAGCGTACAGTATTCAACATTTGTTCTCTGATCTTCATGTTATGCAGGATAATCCGAGACATTCGTTTATATTTCTGTCTGATGTCATCTAGATTTTCCGCCGCCAATTGACCCATCACTATCACTCTCATCATATCTTTACATTGGGACGATTGATTTTCTTTCAAGATGTTCATCAGACTATCGAAAAATATCGCATCCTACAAAAATCGCGAGAGAACAACGTGAACGATCTTTATATTATTAAGTTTTTTATCAGATTTTGAGACACAGACATAAAAAAAAACAGAGGTCAAAAACAAGGAATTAATTAGAGAATTAAGAAAATTTATTCTCGATTAATAAAAAAACCGCATTTTGATATTTTTTAATTGTTCAAGATGTCGAAAATGTTTAATTCTGCATTTAATTCCTTATTTTTGCCTCGTTTCTTATTTCTTTTATCGTGTCTGGGTCTGTACTGTTTTTAAAATATATCACTCGCATTCAATGACAGAGCAAAGCTTTACTTTTTTCAGAATATTCAGCATCGAGCAGTACGTAAGATAGATATCTTTTGCCGCGTTGTGTTTCGCGATGGAACGCTGTAATTGCGCTACCAATCGTTGCTGCTCGCAGTTTGGCGGTTCCTCGCTCTGCTCCTCGAGCTCCGTCGAAAGAACATTGTGTTCCAGCTTGTCATTCGAACGAGCAAATCTTTACTCTATAGCTCAGAGAGCGCAAAACGTGCACACGAGTCGTAATATTATATATTAAATACGTAAAAAAAAAAAACGCCATAATAAATGCTTTATATACAAGAATTATATATTAGATATGTGTAGGCATTTTACTAATTATTACTCCGATTGTAAATACAGATATAGTAAATACTTAACATTTGTTATGACGCATAAGAATCAGGTTCTACCTGTAATTCGATACCTCGCTTCAATTTTCTTTTTTTCTCATAGTAAAGCTTGTCTAGGAGGCGTCGTTTCAAACTGCAATCCTGATACACCGCCGCATAAATTTCCTATGAGACGATACTTTTATTACATACTACGTCCCGGAATTATTCTTACAGAATCATATTGTAAAAATTCAAAGGCAATGTTGGTCTACTCTTACAGATGGTTTCAGGTGAATAAACGCCAAGTAAAATCTCCTGTCATCGCTCAACAACTTGAGTACATGTTGTTTACCATCATCGTAGAGATCACTGACGATTTCACGATATCTCTTTACATCTATTTCCAGGGATGGGATCTTTCGTGACACTAGCGATTTCAATCTCACCGCTTGCGAAAGCTGTAGCTTTTTATCACGTGCTATATATCGGAAATATAATTAAATTTTTTTATACAAAGAAAGAACAGACTTGCTAAATGACTTAAAAATTTAGTCAGATGCAAATTTGAAAATAATTAGATAGAGTACTTAAGTATTTTTTAATACTATAAAAATTTTTTATAGTTCTAGTAACTAAATTGAACATCCTACATAATTATTTGGATGATCCAACGAAATTATTTTCAGATCTGCATCTGTCAAATTTTTAGACAGCAAAAATATTCTTTTCTCGTATTTATTCTATTTAAAACAATTTTTTATCTTAGAAATATATCGAATGGAGATTCTTGCACGTTTTATCTTATTTGTATTTAAAAAAAGATTCTATTCTAGTTATCGATATAGAAATGATAACGAATCAATATAACTTCTGTAAAAAACTTTTATATCTAGTATTATGTGATCTATTTTAAGAGTAAAATATCGCTATTGTTATTGATTTTAAAATAAAGCCAAAAATGTCCAAGTTAAAAGTAACATCGGACATATGTATCCAAATTCAATGTTTGATTAATTTTGATGCTTAACCATGCAATTTCAGAATTCTACGATATCGGCTTATTTTGTTCTTGATAAGCCATGTCTCCACTTGTATCTCTTTAAGAGCTTTGACACGACCCATTATCCCGACGTTCCTTGGCCTTTGATGGATCGCAGCATTGAGTATTAAATGTCACATCGCACGCAAGCGAGGAAATTGTCATTATCCGATTAATTACGCGTTCCAGTTATTATAGCAACCGGACTGGTAACTATGTCAGTTATTAACAATTTAATACACGATTAGCGGCGCTGCTCCGCAGCGGAAGAAAACGGCATCGTACTTTAAAAACGCCAAAGATACTAAAAATAAATAAAAATGATTGTAAAAAATATTTATTAGGAGCATGTTATGAAAAAGGGATTTGCTTTTATTAAAGTCGTTGTACGTCTGGAAGAGAATTATAAAGAAAATACTGATCGTTCCGTGGCCTACGTTTAACGCAAGATGCTTCTTCCAGTGTGATCTACTCGTGATTATTTATCGATTCGATAAATCGTAAACTGTAATTATATTCATCGTCTGATAAGATCATTAACTTTACATAACGTATCTACCAATTCGAAATGTGAAGCAAGTGCTTCACGCGAGTTTCCACGTTTCTCTTAATATTTATGCATGTTTGCTACCCGTATAATAAATATCGAATGTTTTTCGTCGTATAAGATAAAATAGCGATAGTCCCATGAGAGATTCTTAGAGTATTCCTTTTCGTTCTCACACATCTTTGTAAGATCGACAAGGTGGCGGCGGTGCATTCCAAACACCATTTTCCAGACACGATGGCTTCTTCACCGGCTCCAGGGGAGTTACATAGCCAGGCGAGCACGTTACCTGTTTTATAAATTTTTTGAAACATTTATTTAGTTGTTATTTAATTATTAAGGAAAAATCTATTCACCTGTATGTTATCTCCTGGTTTGTACCAAAATTTGAGAGGCGCGATTCGGCCATGAGGAGGATCGCCTGGGTAAGGACATCTTACTTTACCTAGAACAATGTATAATACATTTTAATTATATAATATAATATTTTAATTTTAATTATAAAATATAATAATATATTAATATATTTAATTGATTAATTTAATAGAAATTTTAATAATACCAAAAAAGTTACATTAATGATATTGTATTAATATCTTTAAAACTATCGTTTTTTATCTATTGTTTTTTTATGATATTGCAGAATAGATATTGCAGAAGGCATAATCTTTTCATTAATTAAATTAATGAATTATTAAATTCAAAATATCCTTAATTATAAGGATACTTACATATGGGCGGATGGTGAGACCAAGTACCGTTCTCGGTGCAGATAATAGATGCTTCTCCTATCAATTGGTGATTCGGTCGACATGCAAATCTCACTAAGGCGCCAACTTTGTATATTTTGCCGGGATACTGCTTTTCATTAGAGTATCGCGTTTGTTCGACGATGCGTCCGCCTTGTGGCGTTTCCGGCACAGGACAAGTAATCTCTGTAAACGTTATTTCTTGTTAATTATATCTTATTACTTCTGCTAAGATTGATTAATTTTATAAGAATTTTCGTCTAAGAATTAAATTATACTTTCATGATTAAGAGAAATTAAGTCTAAAGAGAATATCTGACTTGAGTAACTCAATTGATTTAAATATATTTAAAATTAAAAAAATCTTTTCAAAATTACGATTTAAAAGATTTATCTTAAGATGATCGTTTTACCCAAACAAGTCGGCATAGATCCGTTCCACTTGCCATCCCCTTCGCATTTCATGCTCTGCGGACCCGAAAGCTTGTGTCCCCACATGCAGGTGAAGACAACTCTACCGCCATAAGTATTATTGTGCTCGATTAGTTGCAATAACGCATTATCCGGGATGTCCATCGGTGGACATTCGATTTCCTCGCAATGCGGCACGTCCGCCGACCATTTGCCTACGAAGATATAGTTTTCTTAATTTTTTTTCTAGATATGCTTATCCAGTTCATATTCTCGTCGGCCTCATACCGTTGTATTGGCACGTGATAGTAGAAGCACCTTCCAGTCTGTATCCCGCTGGACACTCGAAGACAGCATTGTGTCCCATTCGGCTACCCTCGATGCGACTGATCAATGGTGGATCCGGGATCTCTAGTACCGAACATTGAACATCTACGAAATAAAGCAGGTAAAAAATTATCATAAATTTTAAGAATCTTTTAATATTATTCTGAAAAATGCAATTTTATTTAATAGCCATACCTATGACGCGGACTCCTATGGAGTTGTTCAATCCTTTGGGTGTGGAGCACGTGTATATCCCGGAATCATGAGGCTTGGCGTAGTATATCGACAGGCGATACTTCCAGTCTCTTTCCCGTGCAGCGATCGCCCATCCTGGAACAAATAAATAAAATATTTAGATTTATTAAACCGAAAATTAAAACCACACCGAGAAGAATCTCATTTAAATCTGCACGCGTTTACAATCAATGAAAATCCAAGCTTCTTTGACTCACCCGTCAGATATCGACGGAACGTTGAGGTCCACGTCCACTCGGGATTGCCCAACTTCCTAGAGAAGAGGCACTCCAGGTGTAGGATACTTCCTGGGAAAACGGCGAGCGAACCGGTCGGTTCTACTGCGGCCGAACCAGCGGGTAGACCGAAGAGAATGGTCGGTGGTACATCTTCTGTCCATCCTCGGACAATACGAGGAGCAAAATTAAAAAGAGATCTGTTAAACGTCTCATACAACGCAAAAATTCAAAAAATGTCAAAAGATATCTAAACAATGATATCTTTTTTTTCCTCTCTCTCTTTCTCTTTTATTATTTTTTTCAAACAGACATAAGTATTTAATCACATTTAAGTATTTAAAACGTTTATTAAGGTAAGGCATTGCTTTTACAGCTTCTAGATATTTGCGTTGTATAAGTCGTATAAGTCTGAATATACAAAATGATGTACCGGTATAATTAGAAAGGGACGTAGTAGGCACGCAATAAGGTATTTTTCCGTTCCACGTGCCGTCGTGGCAATGCAATAAGGAGTCGCCGATGAACTTGTATTTACCTAACTCTCGACATCTCACCGTGACCCGTTCATTGTGAGGTACACCGATCTTATCTACCTGTAACATATACTTGTAACGTATACTTGTTCTCTAGAACATTCAACATTATTATCACATATCATTAAATTTTTTCTATTATATTTATTTAAACTCTTATTCCTTTATACTTTTCTTTTGAAAAATCTTTTAAAAAATTTACATTTAAAAAATGGAGTCAAAAGCTTGACTGTAAACTACGTGATTGTAACGTGAAATTTTACAATTTGCAATGACAAACTTAAAACACTTGATTTTATTTGATAAGAAAAATTTTAATTTTTAACTGACTATTCTTTTACAACCGGTTAATAATAATAATCAAAGCTATTGCTTTGAAATAGTGTGATGATTTTCGCAACGTTAAAAACTTGAAATTTGTTCAGTTTATTCAACTCTGTGTTACATTTTTAAATTCACTTCTTCCTTTTACTAACTTCTTCTATAAAGTGACATTTGACATTACACAACAATTCCATTGCCAGAAAAGAGCAACACAACAGCGATATACTCACAGATATAGTGATCTGTTTATAGGTGACGAGAAGAAGAGGGTGAAGGCCTTCCAACTTGCATCCCCGCTTTAAACTCTCGTTAGTCTCTGCAAGTACACAGGATACGTGTTTTAGAGAATTTGAAACTGTCCCTTTTAGTGTTCGCGCACGCTCGCTCACACCCTCGCAACAACGGGCCAAAGATCGATCACATTTTATGGCGGCTTGCGCGATGAACGCCGAAATAGAGATCGATCCGATTTGATCGCGTGATACACAGTGAAACCGGTTACATCGTCATCGCGTTCCAAGAATGGTCGAACAACGGGGTGCAAGAAGGTTGCACGTGTTTAAATGTCGCTCGAGGGTAGCTCAAGACAAATAGAAAATAACAAATTTTCCATCTAAAATAATAAAATAAAAATTATTTAGAATAAAAATTAATCGTAAGAATTAATATGTATAAAGAGACAAGTAATCTAATTCTTGAAGCTAAAACTCGATTCTTAAATTCTCCATGTTCTCTTCCGCGCAAGAATGAAAATATAGCGTGTTACACTTTAAATAAATTATAATAGTTAACATCTACGAAAGGAAACGAAAGGAAACATTACATTTATATGAATTTTTATATAAAAATATAATTTCTCGTTCAAGACTTAGACTCAATACAATCGTTGGTCGTTGCGGCACTTGATCACTCCTTATAAACATCCGAGGGATGTAATTTTTTTGGAGACAAATTTCTCTTCGATTCTCAGGTACTAATCAGGGACATTCTTATCGGTCTCGTCGTTCGTTTAAGGGCAAGTTTCGATTGCGGGATCCGCGTCGGGACATCCCGCGAACTTTGGGGGATGTACACGTACCTATGCACTTGATGTTCAGCGTGAGCAGAAGCAACGTCGTGGTCGCTATCGCGGCGACACGTGCACGCGTCCTTCCTGAGCGGCGGTGTCCTTCCTCGCACGGCATGCTGCTGACGGCGTCCTGGCGGGTCGCAGGTCACGCAGAATCATGATTAACGACGACGAGGCTAACGCGGCGTGGTACCGAGGCGGACGCATGATCGCGTGTCGCCGATCGGCATCGGCTGCCGTCTCGCGATCCCGCTCATTATCTTTTAGAACGGAAGGACGTATTCCACTCTCTCTCTTTCTCTCTCTCTCTCTTCTCCCCTCGCACTGAGCGTGATTGTTACACCCTGCAATCGGATGCGGCAGCGAGCGACGACACACTAGTAACAACGTCGATACTAAACATCCATAATCGGCAGGGGTGGCTCGAGACTCGCTGTTCTGAGGGATGCGCATGCGGTCACCCTCCCGTCCTCCCGGCCGTCCTTTCCTCTCTCTCTCTCTCTCTCTCTCTCTTTCTCTCCTTCTCTTTCTCCCAACGCTGCTTGCTTTCAATCCAGAACTCCATTTGGTCCATGTGCCAGATCTGTAATTCTGTGGATATACTGGGTGATAATGTTCATCGGAAATTTGTAAAGGTCGTTTACAGAACGATAGACAATTGTTAAGTGGACAACGTCGAGCTGGTTATTTAATGATCAACAATGTTCACAACTGTCACTATTCAATATCGTTCAGTATGATCGTTCGAAACCATACATAAATATTAAATGGTATTTGATTGCGTTAAAAATTATATAGATTAGCTCGTACACTCAAACGATGCCTTGGGACAAAGAGACTCGCTATCAAAATATTAAATTTTAATGAGAGATTTATCGCTGTTTACAAATGTAGAAAAAATATAGAAAAGCACAAGAGACAAAACGAAGCACCCTATAGAGATGTTCTATATAGAGGTGTTGTTGCGAGAAGAGATCTGAATCACTTTGTTCTCGTTTTAAGCATCTGTGATCTGCCTTTCTGTTTCTTTTTGGAACGGTTAATGCAGCAATACATGAGAATGAAAAATGAAGAGCTCAGATGCAACCTCCATTCGGGTATTTTAAGTACAAAAAATAAAAATAAAATACGAATGTAGTGCGAAATACGAACTTGAGAGCAGAATTTACAAGAACTGAAAGGTCGCAGCATGTAGGACACGATAAAATAATATGAAATAATAATAAATACGATAAAATGGTAATAAATAAATAATCAAGCAATATAAAAATATATTTCAACGACAATAATTATAAAAATGAATAAAATATATATCGGAATTATAAACGTACGATATCATGTATATCCATGAAAAAATTATTAATCTCATACAGATTTTATTTATATTTTACGCGGCATTAATGAAAAACATTAATTAAATTTTCTGCTTAACAACTACCATCTCTTTCTCGTCAATTGCAAATGCGAAAATTAAAGCCGAGAATTCCAGACGTGTCGGTTAATTAACAAAACTAAACTCCAAGGCGAAAATGTATTATAAGTTATATGAATTATATGAATATATAAGACGTCTGTCGTCTTAATTTATTATTCAAATCAAGCCGAAAAACCCGCCGCTCGTCTTATTACTTGAAGATGACTGCGAGTGCGAGAATTGAAGCTAAAGGAGTTCAGACGTGTTAATTAACAATTACATCCCAAGACGAGAGATATGTTGCAAATTATGAATGACGGTGACGCGCCAAAGGTACAGGATGACCCACAATTAGAGCGTCAATTTCGCGAACGGTTCCACGAGAAAATGTTTTTTTTTAAAAAGGAGTGCATATGTAAATTAAAAAGCTGTAAATAAGTACATCGCGTTGTTTTTTAAAAAATTTGATAAATATATATGTATATATATATATATATATATATATATAGTAAAATTTTTAAAACCATCACGATGTACTTATTTACAGCTTTAATTTACATATGCACTCCTATTTAAAAAAACATTTTATTGCAGTTAAAAAATTGATATAAAAAAACTCATTATTATTCTTAAATATATATATATTTATTCCTTAGAATATGTACGCAATAATTAATGAGATAAATTTCAATAGGACACTTCACTTAATTTCTTCAATCATAACAAATAAATAAATTTACAGAGACGTGTTGAAATTTAAAATATGTTAAAATACTTAATAGATATGAATAGTATGTGTTATTAACAATATAAAAATGTAAAATAAATAGTACATATAAAGTAAACCAAAATTAAATAAAATTTTAATTTCGATTAATTTTAATTCCGGTTTAATTTACTTTTTATCTTTTTCTAATTCTCCAAATTAAAAAAAGATAAAAAATAAGTTAAATCGAGATTAATAAAAATGGATATATGCTGTCGAGTAATAGGAAACTTGCTAATATAGATCTTTTTAGTTTTTGTTAACGTAGAATTATCGTCTCGTTTGTCATGCGGAAAAAATTAAGGAAACGTTAGATTGTATTAGAATTGCTGATTAGAGCTAATTAATTTCAACTAGAGTAATTAGAAATTTTACACCGATAAAATGGATTATCGAATAATTAATTAATAATCGAATAAATAATAATTAATTCTTAATCAAGCACTTCTACTCGATTCTTAATCGAGATCTACATTAAAAAATTCTTCTTTCCAAAATAAAAAATCTAGTAATTATTTTAACACAAGAGCCGAGTTCTTTTGAATAAGAAAGGAGGTTCTTTCTCTTCGAATAATCTCCTTTCGAAAGATTCTTCGAAATACTTCGATGGTGTTTAATTCAATTAAACAATTAACAATCTGTCCTGGGTTACTACTATATAAATTATGAACATATCGAGGATAGGATGCCCTGCAGGCGATGCGGAGGGAACTTCTGGAAACTCGTCACGCTTTATACAGCGCGGAATTACAGTTGGAGAAAGAGCGCGGAATTTCCCACGAGTTAAGGATGCGTCTGCAAGTGGTTACAGACGTGGCGAACGACTCGCATCAGCGACTGACGAAGAATCAGGTCGAGAACGTTCAGCTGCAAGTCAAGTACGACGCGATGGCGAAACAACGCGAGTCTCTGATGAATCAAGCCACAGCTGCGAAGATGCGTGAGGTCGAATCTAAAATGAAAATTCAGAGCTTGGAGGAGGAGCTGCGTCAGAGCGACGCGAGCAACAAAAGGATGGAACAGGCGTTAAGGGAGCTCGAACATGATAGTTCACGTGCTATCGTCACTATCGATCAGTACGTTTGACCTCGCGAATGAAATCTGTTATACGCTCCCTTTAGACAACTACATAAAATACATGCCATCTTACGTAACATTATTTTACATAGAATCTTATACGCGGTCTCATTTCCAATCTCAATTATCATAATTTTAATAATACATTCTTCGATCTCTCTACGATGATAATATAAATGTCAATGACAAAGCAAAAATCTTGCAACTACATTATTTGTTGACTTTTCTAGCAAAATCGCGAAACTTAAGGAGGAGCATCAATACCTGCAAAAATCCTGCGAGGAGATCATTCGCTTTAACCAGCGTTTGCAAACGGTGAGTCTGTGTACTCACGCGATACACCACAAGGACAAAGCGAGAATAAAAGCATTAGAATATATGCTAGCTTCAACGTCGATCGGAAACGCAGGCACTGTGGAAAAGTTTGTAGATTACGACGCACATCCATATCCGAAGATAAAAAAATTATCTCCGCCATCCACATAAAAAACAACAAGATAGGATTTCATCAATAAATATACTGACACATGTTATATACAGGATTAATAAAAAATGTATTATAATAATCGTTTTCATATATTTAAGTATAAGTTGAACAAGTTCGAATGGTAAAAATGCAAACTCGTAAGATGCACATCATGACAACCAGCGAACAAAAGATTTGTTATTTCATTTTTTCCTTTTAATGCGGATGTAAATGTAAACGAATCTATATATCTCTCTACATGCAAAATAAATCCGCCGGGAAAGTAAGCTTCGCGTATTTATGTTCGTTCCTCCTTTACTTTTTTTAGATCTAATAAAAATTCTACGACTATTTGAGATATAACAAAATTCTTTCTATAAAGTTCTTGTTCAATTCGTCACAAGGCATTTTAATTACATCAGTTAATGCTCTAGTACACTTTACGTTGTCCCGTTAATTTTGTGAAAAAGCTATATCTGCTTAATAACAGTATAAAAACGATTGTGTGATACCTATACTGCTTAATCTTATTTATTCAATTTTTTTCTTATTTTAATCATTGTATGTGATGTTGTACGGTGTGTGATGTATGTTTCTATGTATGTACTTTTACAGACATATGGTCCTCCAATAAGAGAAACACACACGATGTAAATCACGCTGAAACATGAGTTGCAAAATTTCGTGCATAAGAAAATGTATACTTCATCCCATTGCTATAAAAATTAAGTAACACGTACTTTTATACTTAATAGTGATTTTTCGATAAAGAAAATTGACCATTACCCGTTGATCATTTAAGAAAGCCAGAGGAGAGAGAAAAAAGAAAGTTCATTGTGTGTCTGATATATCACACATAACTTAATGTTTTTGCCTGATTTAATAAATATCATTGTAAATTTTTTAAATAACATAATGAGACATATAAGATCACATCATTAAATCTCTGTCAACTCGATTATCATGTCATCGGAACTACCTCACCTAAGACCATTTAATTATATTGATTAACAAGTAAAATATTTGTATAACAAACTGTAGCAGTTGCATTAACTAAAACGACACGCACACTCCCTTCCTACGTAATAAAACAAAGAGTTTTAATACTTTCTCCTCTGAGGGTTTCTTCGGCAAAAGATACATTCATGCAAATAATTTCTGAGTAATAATATAATGCGATAACGTTTCATTGTCAAGGAATAAACCCACTATACCCGATACTTGGGATGTGAATGGTTCCACAAAACATCGGTTTTGTTCGACGAAATGAACATAAGTAAATAATGATAGTAAATAGATGTGTCTCGTTGAACAGTTGGAAATATTTGGAGGGTCAGAGTATAGTACAACGAGCGAGCCAACTGGGTGGCTTCCTCTGTGGTTCTGAGGCTTTCAACTGGTGACCGCCGCCTTTCGGTGGATTCGATGCTTCCTATATAAAATAAAACATAGTATTAATAAAACATACGATATAAGCAATGCAATAAGTTTATGCAAGAAATTCGTCATAATCTCACACCATTTTATGGGATATCTTGCTCATAAATCAGAAAAACAAAAATGGGTTACTTAGTTTAGCAATTAAGAAATTGCAGATGTGTTAATAATAAATGCATACGTGTCATAACATGCACATTATGCAATCTTCATTTTTTTTAATTATTTAATAAAATATTAATCATAAAGATAATTGCGAAAAATGTAAATCCAAATGTTAAGCAAGCTTAGAAACGACATATACCTTTTCAGCAAGACATATATAAATTAAAATTGATATTTAATGCAATAAATGCCGTTTAAGATAATTTGATGACAGTAATTTGATGACACAAAGTATTTTTAGTTAGTAGGCATTGCATATATGATATTGTCAAAATAAATTAACGAATAGAAGCCACAGATAAGATTAACAAGATGTTACAAGATGCAATGTTAATTATAACATCATAAAATTAGATATATGTAATTAACTAAACACTAATGGTGTACGAAGAAAGTTACCTTCTGCCAAGATAGACCAGCACCAAACACAGAGAAACAGAGACAGGAAACAGAGAAACAGTGGTTATTTTTGTAGTAGACATAAGAAAAATGTTCATGTGAAAATTGATATATGATTAAGCACATCTTTTTCTAATTATTAATACCTATATAGTATATTTTTTAATGTAAAAAACTTTATATATTAAAATATAAATATACTGACAATCACAGTGAATAATCTATGTAATAATCGTTTGAATAATCAGTAATATCTGTAAATTTATTGAGATATATGTGATATAATTGATATTTCCTTACCAATTTTTTTTCCATTTTCGCTTTGATATCGCGTGCCAAAGTATAGAAAGCCTCTTCCACATTGATACTAGATTTCGCTGAGGTTTCCATAAATTTAATACCATATTCCACAGCCAGTTGTTCACCTCTTTCCTTCGTTACTTGCCTCTTCTCTGTAAGCTCACACTTATTACCTAACAACATTTTCTCCACATCCGCCGACGCATTCTCCTCTATATTACGAATCCAGTTTTTAATGTTTTCAAAACTTTTGTCATTTGTAACATCGTACACCAACATAATTCCCATCGCTCCGCGATAATATGCCGTGGTGATGGTGCGAAACCTTTCTTGTCCAGCGGTATCCCTACAAGTATAGATAACTACTATTGCAGCACAATATATGAATCCTAATCGCACTCTGTACTAATTAAACAATGGGAGCTGAAGAGATAGAATAAGCGCGTTCATATTTACCATATCTGTAACTTAATCTTCTTCCCGTCCAGTTCGATGGTACGGATCTTAAAGTCAATACCTGCAACGAAATGGTAGATCAGAATCCGGGGCGCTCTCGGGGATGCGGGGAAACAGGTGCGGGCATGCGAGCAAGGCCGGGCTGCGCGCGATATGGGATGAATCACGTTACTGTGAACGGCATAATGTGCTCTTTGTTCGATGATCGAACACGATGTTCGATCCGCACGCGTTTAGATCGCACATCGTTTTCGAGACACACCCCGGGCGCGCGCCGCGACGATTCGGTGGCGCGACGAGGACGATTAACACAAGCACAGCGTGGCAAGGCGAAGATCAAGGGGGGAAGGTGGGAAATTGTACACGCACGCACGCCGACAACGTACCGATGGTCGAGATGAAGGTGGTGTTGAACGCATCTTCGGAGAAGCGAAACAGGACGCAGGTTTTGCCTACGCCGGAATCGCCGATCAGCAGCAGCTTGAATAAATAATCGTACGTTTTTGCCATTGTCGTGCGACGCGATGATGATACGGGCTCGTCGCAGCTTCCCCGAGCGATATTAATCGCTCACCACGAAATCCGAGCGCTTCGCGAACGATGCTTCCTGACGTTCGTGACGGGAGCCTCCGAACGGGCTGCTCACAAAACCAGCTGGCCCGAGTCTTCTCTCTCTCTCTCTTTCTTTCTCTTTTTCACTCTCTTTCTCTCTCCTCTTCCTGATCTCCAATGACGATATCTAACCGTTTCGTCCGCGAGACATTTGACGAAGCGCGTTCTCCTTCCTCCGGTGCTCGCTCACTCTCTTTCTCTCCGTCTCTCCTTCTCTGTCCTGCTCCCGTCTGGATTTCTCCCGACGGGATCTCGATTTTTCGGGCACCGATGACAACACCACGTCGGGTGATGACGCGTGGCTCTGTTCGCGACACGAGGAACCGCGAGAGAAGGGGTGCTCCTCGCCTACCTCCCGTACGCTCGCGAACGCGCGACCGCGAATTAACAAAGCGGATTAATCACGCAAAACATCTGTCAGAAAAAGCGATGACAGCCGTGCATCCGCCGCGATTTCGCCCTCGTGTTGTGGCCACCTTGGACTCTCTGTGCGCCGCCGAGTACGCGTGCGCCTCCGAGCTCGCCGTTATGCACGCGTACGCAACACGTGTCTCGGAATCTCAGACCGCGTCCGCACCAATCGCGACGGGGTCCATAGATACCTCGAAAGTTGAACGTGCTCCATTTCACATTTTTTTCCTTCAAAACATCTCATGTTTGAGATATTTGATAAGATATTTCTATCTTAAGAAGAATCTATTCTTAAGAAGAAAGAAAATTTCTACATGATTTTTCCTGCCTACTCGATCCTTTTCTTCTAGATTAAAAATTTTGTTCCGAAACGTTTTAGGTACAAATAAATTTCTCGATAATTTAATGAAACGTTCATTACAAATTATTAATAAAATAAGACTAAATCTTTTTTTCTAATATGAAATATTGTATAAACATAAATTTCTCAATATTTTATGCCATCAAAGCTTCCATTAAAAAATTTTAATGAGTTTTGATGGGAGCTTTAAAATACATATTAAATTTTAAATTTTATTTCTCCCGACACATTTCAAGTAATAAATAACATATTTCTCAATAATCTTTTTCTCATTAACAAAGCTTTGATAAAAAGTGGAGGACAGTGTTACTTTCCTTTATTTCTTGGCATGAAGTAGTTTATTTATAGATTACACAATTTTTTTCAACAATTTTTTTGTTCTCTTATTACTCTAGTTCATAAAATAAAAGTATTTTGTTTTTATGTGCCGAATTTTCAAGCTTAACTTAATATAAAATTTATTTTCGTCTCTTGTATCATGGATCTTCAAAATTCATTAATCTTTCTATATCACAAGAAATCAAAGAGATTTTAATAATTTCAATTCTTTAGTTAGCCAACAGGAAAAAACAAACAACCTTTATATTCTTTTTATGTCGAAATAATCTTCATTTGATAACATATATGACAGCGCTATCTTTTAGAGTTAAAAATATTCAAACCTAATAAGAGAAAAGCTATGATTTTTATCGTAACCAATATTAAACAATATTCACTAAACATCTTGCATAAATTCACCCACACAAATTTAAAAAAAATTTCTAATTAATTTTTCCGAGAAGAGAAATATTATAATTTTATAGTTAATAAATTTAAACAAATTATTTAAGAATGTTAGAGCATTTTTATTAATTATAATCTTGATAAGTGCTTAGCAATATGTATTATTATCTCAATAGCAAATATTAATTATAAGTTCGATCACATTATTCTCTTGCGAATAATCTATAAATAAAAAGCTGATGTAATCAGTTATAGCTGACTTGAATCTAAATGTACAAGAATGATCAATGATTCAATAACGATAACTCACAAAAATATATTCTACGATACTTATTTTATGAATTACCTTAAATTATTTTATTAACTTATATTATTTGTCGTCGTTATATATATAAATTGACAATACAAATAATTCCAAAGGTTTCCATAAGATATAATAAAATTTTTCTAAGAAATATATATCTCTTTTGCAAAATATTGTAGATTCTACTTCTAGGTTGTTTATATTTAAAAAAAACAAATAAGAAAAACCAAATGTAGATTAGTATAACTAAAAGTTAACTTATTGCAAAAAAATAAATTTATAGAAACACATGCTAAATCTTTAATATTCTCAAGTTTCATTTTCAGACAATTATGATAAATCAAATTATATGCATGGTAAAGACAAGGTTTTAATTTTCTTCTTATACCCTTATAAAGAAAAAAAGTTTTATACATATATATATGATACATGTGTTTCTTAATATTTACATAAATATAATAAAATACTCGAAGTATTTCTTGAAATTTTTCTCTTTCTCTCTTACAAATTTTAAATATACATCAGTAAAAATCTAGTTTTATATTTCAAAAAAAAGAGAGAAAAACTTAAATGCTAAACAACATTAATAAAAAGAAAGATTGAGGTACAAATATAAAGCACAGATCTTTACAAGTTTATATTACGAGCCTTCATTTGCAAATCGAAGCGTCGATTTGTTCGCACACCTTTCAGCATCATTCGCGTTTTCTCTTGCTGCTTCTCTCTATAAACATTCATATCATGCAAAATTTTGTCCGTTAAATTATTTTAAAAACAGAATTTTGAATTCTTTTAACATGTTTTTAAGTCTTTCTGTTATAATTATAGCACTTGATCGAATTTAATAAAACTCAAGTGACAAAATAAACTATTCTAAATAAAATTGTTTTAAATAAAATTTGCAAAATATTTTTTTTCAAATAAGTTTGGCGTACCTCGAAAAAGCAGGTTGTTTTTTCATAAGTTGCGTAGCTTCTACCTTCTTCACCTTAAATCCAAATCTATTGTGAACACCATCGCTTGTGTCAGTTGGCAATGGTTTTCTCTCTTCCTTCTTTATATCTACCTTTGGCACAGCTTTGTTTGTAGCTACAAGGACAAGTTTATATTATAAGAAATTATTAGAAATTATTATATGCAAAATAATAAATATTATAGAATTACTGAAGGCTAAGTGCCTAGCTTCCAATCGTTTCTTTGCATCTATGAGTGACTCTGACTTAGCAAACATTTGTTCATGTATCCTCCCGAAATTTGGTACCTTTTTCGTAGATGACTTCTTTTCTGTAAATTTAAATTCGTATTATTAGAATATAAAATAAAACAAATTCAAGGCAATATAAAATAAGATCGAAAGAAATATAAACTAAAAACGATCTTTAGTTTTAGTTTACCTGATTTCTTTTCAACTGATGCAAGACTTTTCGGTGTAATTTGATTTCTCGGCGTATCTACTAGTAATCTTGGATTTAATCTTGTATTAAAAGGAGAACTTAATGAATTTTGATTAAACTTCAGAGTTTCAACTTTTTTCGATTTGTGAGCTGAATTCGTAACATTATTTTTACGTTGTGTGCTAACATTATGTGATATGTTTGATCGCGATCCGTTTAGTTTATTAATCAACCTTTGCGCACTATCTGCTCTGGATGTTACATCTGCAAATCGTACTTTAGCTTTCTTAGCGTTACTTTTCGCACTTAAATTTGCATCTATTGAAGTGCGTTTCCTAATCATTTGTTGTAAATTTTGCGTCTGCGGCTGTTCCAATTCATAGGTATTATTTTTCTTGTTTTCTTGCTTATTTTCCATATCTTTGTCATAAGTAGTATTTTGTTTCATGGCACTTGAAAAGCGAGATTGACTAGTATTACTAATATCTTTATCAAGCAGAGAAGGTCTAGATACATTTTCAATGCTCATATCTTTATTTATCGTATTAGACAGCTGCACATTGGATCGATTATTCCTATGTCTTAATTTAGTAAGAGACATGTTATTTACAGATGCAATAGAAGTATTGGACTCTAAACTTATATCTGTTAATGCCACCACTGCCTGTGGAGTGGATGACATTAAGGGCGTGGACGATTTATTTTTTTCCCACAATGTATTACATTTAATTCTTGGCGATATTTTAGGGGATTTCTCTATACTATTATTCCTTAATTTAATGCTGGAATTTCGATTAGTAGATATATTTGATCCTGTAGAAGCTCTTTTGATCGGTAATGATACCTTGGAATTGCTCCCAGGACTAGAAGCTCTTTTGATCGGTAATGATACCTTGGAATTGCTCCCAGGACTAATTAAGGGGGATTTTACTCCGATTGAAGTATTTGATTGAGTTTTTTTAGCAACCATATTTTGTCGTTTCATGCCTTCAGACGATAGTTTTTCCACTAACACTATTGGTTCTCCCAGCACATCTTTTATTTGCGTAGATGATAATATTTTTGTTAATCTTGAATATAATAAATTTCGTTTAGCTCTTGGTGAATTCTTCTTTTTAGGTGATTTTTTAATATTATTTTTAGATGATTTGGAATCAAGTTTCGGTATATCATCAAAACTAAAAGACGGACTAATAGATTTCAACGGACTCTTTTTCGCCCGGGATGGCGATAATAATTTTAATTTGCGTGATTTTGAATTCTTTGATTCCGGAGACCTCAATACTATTTTTGACGACTTCGAAAATTTACGTACAAATGTTTTTAAATTAATGTCAGATTTCTTTTGTTTTTTTGTTTTTAGTGACTTCGACATGCTTTGACTGGGCGTGGAATCACCAGAATCATCATGTCGCCTATTTTTCTTTCGTGATTTCTTATTATGCGAATTACTATTTGATTTTTCTAAGTTCTCCTCAGATGTTGTAGTAAGAGACAACTTTCTTGGACTCTTAAGTAACTTTGGTACAGCTAACGAATGTGTTTTTGGAGAGCCCAAAAAAATTGGCGACTTTTTAGGTGTTTTCTTAGATCTGTGAGGAGTAAGACTGAGCTTAGGAGGCGTGCTCTTGGGAGTGACTATAATAGATGGTATTTTTATGTTTGTGGCAGAGGCCTTCCGTTGTAACTTTCTGGGAACTTCTTCTAAATTTAAGTCTTTTGAAATATTGATCCTAGACATATCGCTTCTGATGAGTTCCACTATTGGAATACTATTATTACACTCATTTTTTAATACTTTGAACGAATCATTAGAATCCATGCTTCGATCCCTGGATATTGTATGAATATTCTCAGTTTTTATTTCTTCATCTAAATTCAGCTTCCGACGAGTTCTTTTTGCAGATTTTGTAAATGTTACCTCTGTGTTAGATTTTTTTTTTGAGGTACTTTGTTTAGTAGTGGTTTCCAAATTATCTTTAACACTTGTAGTCCTCTCCTTTCTCTGCGACTGTCGAATTTTTTGTGCTGATTTGACCACATCTTGGTTCACGTTATTTATTTTCTGCGCCTGCGACCTGGTGGAAACAGTAGATTGTACCGCTGTTGCTGCAAAATATAATGGAATACTTTAACATCCTTTTCACGACGAAAAAAAAACAAGAAAATCCAAAACTGATAATATTTAAGACTCCGATCAAACTTCCACTATTTATCAATCAATACCTGTTTTACCGAGAATTGGAATTATTAATTATTATTGATCGAATGGAAAGAGAAACCAAAGACAAACGATCAAAATATCAGCAGTGGCTCAGCCGGTCGAGTCAATCTGAGTTTATTTGGATTTAGTCCAAGTCGCCCCCAATGAAAGCGACTTCTTCGATCGACTCGCGTGTCGACGTATTTCGAACTCTCGAAATACAGACGCGCGCGGACGTGCGTATGGGAAGAATTATAACCTCACACCCGGGCCGCATCTCGGCCGGGAAGCGCCACGACGCGCATCTTCGTCTTACCTGCGCGAGTGCGTCTAGGCGACATAGGGAATCCTCCTGGATCTGGCACCAAGCTCGCGAAGTATATATCCGTATACCGTACACCTCCGAAACGACCAATCCCGCGAATTTTCAACGAATTTTTGTTTGGATGCTGAATCAACTTAAAACGAACTCAATGGACTCAACACCGGACAGCCGGCCGTGCTTGCGCGCCCATTTTGGCGACCAATAGCAGGGCCCCACGAGCTACGCGTCACAGACGCGCGCGTCTGATTGGCTGGTGTTGCGCCGAAACTTTAAATGGCAACGTATCGACGCTGAACGTTAAGGATTTCCGCATGTAGAAAAAACTTAAGCCCGATTGCACCAATGTTATTTTGGCTTTAAGTGAGACTTAAAATCTGTCTTTATTTCTTTAGAAAGAAAGATCAAGACAGATACATGTTTAAGTCTCATTTAAAATCAAAATAATGTTGGTGTAACTGGACTTTAGGCTCTCACACACAAACGCAAGTAGTAAGAAAATTATCCAATCACAGACTATTATTCTTCGATTGGGAGGAGAATACTCGAATACGATTGATTAATTTTCTTATTGTTTAAGTTTTTTGTGCCAAATTTAATTATGTCTAGTACGTAAATATTGTGGAAAAAATATCGTACAAAAATCAAGTGATTCGTTTAACGAAAAAAACATTGCGAAATATCAATTCTAAACAGATTTAAAAAAAAAGTTTAAATGAAGTACTGTTAATTGGCCAATATAATATTGGCCATTATAATATTTGATTTCCATGTGAATTGGCTGCTAAAAAAAATATATTTTTCTGTACGCAAAGTTTTGATGTTAAAATCTAATTTTGAAACTTCTTCCAGGAATCGATGAAAATGATTAATAATTAGAAAATATGTTTAAAAAAAAGAAAGATATTCTTAATGTTTGGAATTCTTTTTTTCTTCTCTTTAGAAACACATCCTAAAAACTTCACGTGAAATATAAATAATATTATATAATAAACACAATGTTTCCGTTCTTTAGCTGTGCACCTATAGTGTTGCACCTTCTGCACTCAAAAATATATAATTGCACATTACAGAGAAGAGGAGAAAAATGCAAGAAGTTCAGATATAAAGGATACAAATTGTTTTTTGTAGCTATGTACAGCACCTTCTACGCTTAAAATATAATTGTAAATAAATATATATAAAATATAAAAATATATAATAAATTATCAATAAAAAATCAAATATAGAAAGATTCTAAATATATCATTTGATTCTAACATGAATGTAACACGCAATTTTCTCTTTGCAAAAAATGATGCAAACTTAAAAATTACAAAGGAATAAAAATTAAAAAATTTTCAAACAGTTCAAAGAATTTTCACTTTTTTCACTAGAAGCTAAAAAAAATACTTGAAATATTGATGAGATACGCTTTTGTCAATGTTTAATGTATAACTACATACGGTAACTGTATATTTTCTTCGAAAAAATGAAGGACAAATCGAAAAAATTTAGAATTTTGTTTCTATATGTTTCTAAATTTGTGACTGTCAGGAATTTGCATACGAAATTTTCTTGCTTATACCAAATAGCAATATACTAAAATGAGATACTACACAACTTTCTAATAATTTGATTGGTTCAATTATGTTGGAACAAATCTTTGATTTAAATTTGGAATAAATGCGAAATAATAAAAAAAGAAAATGGATCTGATTTGAATAATTTTAAAAAAATTAAAAATAAAATTAATACAAATTATATTTATGTATATATAAAAGTCTATATTTTATATATTTTATTTAAAAATTTACTTAATACTTACTAACGAACATACAACATTAAACATTAAATATTGAAACGCTAATTAGAAAAGAATTTCCCGTAAAATGAAAGACTAAATAAAATAAAGAACAAAATTAAATTTTGAGAAAAATAAATAAATCGAAGGACAGTTACCTGAAAAAAAAAGAATTGTCCTTTAGGATAAAGGACGTAAGGACGTCACCGTACAGAATACGATCTTAAAAGAGAAATTATATGAAATATAATTTAAGTAATCCAAAAAAGTATGATATTGACAAAGTTGTTTGAATTACTGCAAGTTTTGTCTCACTCATGAAAGAAAAACGCTTTCACAATACATAGAATTACATTACATAGAAAACAAGCCGAGGTTAGCGTTGAGTTAGATCTGCGGTTTATTGCCAAACAGGGTAGAATGATAAAATCATGGAGCGTGGGTGTGAACGAGGATATGTATGGTGATTGTTGATATTCACAATGAAAAACTGACTTCAACTCGACAGTGGAACACCGAATTATTTCTTCCTGCGACGTACTACGAAAATACTCTGCGAAAATGTAGGGATACACGTTATACATCATTTCGATATTTAGAAACTGTGTGAACAGGATTGACTTAATTATCGGTGTCAATTTCAGGAATTTTGTAAAAGCTTTTAGTACTCGGCTCGAAAAGATATAGATTTGAAAATCATTCATCTACTTGTTTGATATTATTAAATATTCTTAGTGAAGAAATTATGTCAAATAGAATATCTATGATATAATATCTGTGTTTACCATATTTACATTTGTTGACAGGTATAAAATTATCATTACTTTTCTTGTTATTATCTCTTTAATACGAGGAGAAGATTACTATGAGATTCTTGGTATAAGCAGATCAGCTGGACAGGATGAAATTCGAAAAGCTTTCAAGAAGCTGGCTATTATCTACCATCCCGACAAAAATACTGTACATAAATATAAAGATTATAATATACTATATTGTTGTCTGCCTTGCTAATAATATTTTAATGCTTCAGGATGATCCAGATGCACACGATAAGTTCGTTCGATTAACAAAAGCTTATGAGACGTTAAAGGATAATGATTTAAGAAAAACATATGATCTTTTTGGAGAAGATAGCTTTAAAAAATCTAATAAACAAACCTATTATTCTTCGAGTTATTATCAACACAGTTTTATATATCAATATGATGAAAATGTTGTTTATTTGACAAAAAATGATTATTGTGAGTATACAGCTTTTTTTCTGTATTTCTTATTAAGTATGAAATGAAATATATTAATGTTAATAATGCATTAATGATTGAATTAATGATTCAATTGAGTATTAATTTATGTTTATGTGCATTTTTATATAGTTGAGAGCATTATTAATTCTGACTCAAGTTGGTTTGTAAACTTCTATTCTCCAATGTGCAGCCATTGTCATCACTTAGCACCAGTTTGGAGAAAGGTTGCTAAATTACTTAATAGTGTCATGAAAATTGCAGCAGTTAACTGCGAATATGATAGGATGTTATGTCATCAAGTGGGAATCCATGTCTATCCTACATTGCTTTATTTTAATAAGGTATATGTATATAAAGAATGTCGGATTCCTCTTATTATATAATTTTTCAGATAATTACATAATCTATATAATTTACATATTTCTATATGGATTGTATTTGTTAATTAGTTACTAATAAGAAGTACTAATTCGTTTTTGTCCCAAAGCATTCACAAAATGGAGTACATTACAATCAGGAAAGAACACAACAGGCTATTATACATTTTGCATTGAATAAATTAAATATTCAAATACCTGAAATAAACGAATCTCAGTGGGAGTTGTTTTTACGTGGCAAGAATATTGTCCAAAGACCCATGTTAATTTTTATTTGTGGTGTCCAAGGGAATTGTTTCACTTCTAATGAAAGACTTATAGTAGGAGCTACATTTGTAAGTGTTGCGTTATTTTTATTTATACAAAATTATTTTCTTAACAAGAAAATATATTTTTATCTACACAAAAGCAAGCCACTATCGTGTCGAAATATGTTTTTTAACGAATGTTTTTTTTGTTGTAATTATTTTAAATATTGTAATATATGCTTTTATATATTTTAATATATTTTAATTATTGTAATATATGCTTTTTTCAGGATAAACTTATTGATGTAAGAATGTTTACATGTGAGAGTGACAGTTGTCATGATAAAATATCTCATAATATATATGCTGTTTATCTACCAACATATAATATATCTTTTTGGGAGCCTATATTCTTTAATAGCATATCTGACATAAAAACATTAATAGAAGAACTCTCAAGCCAATTGCCTAATCCACAGGAGTTATCTAATAATGACTTTGAGGTGAGCAAAATATTAATTTGCTAGGTTTACTATACATTATGTCATTTTAAAAATTTTATTTTTATCGAGAAAGTTTATTACGATTTGCAGCATATTAGGAAAGCAAAGTCCAATGTTATTTGGCTCGTATGCTTTTACTTCGACGATGTAAGCTTACTAGATTTGAATTTGCAAATAAAGAAGCTTTCAGCCAGTATTAATATAGGTAGATATTTTTGTAATTCATTAATGAATATTTCATCATATAAAATTTTTACACAGCATAAAGTATTTTCTTGCAGGTAAAATAAATTGTGACAGATATAGAGATCTTTGTTCTAAATTGAGTTCTAAAGTCAATGTATTGAATTATCCAATGTGGGGTGTGATTAAACCAGGTGGAACATTTGAACTGAACCACGGAAAGAATATGAAAAATGATATTCTTAAGTTTACGCAATTTAGTATGAAAGCTACAAACTTTAGAACTCTGTTTGTAGAGGAGGCGTTATCGATATTACAAAAGAGTAATAATTTTGTATCATAATTATAAATCGTATTTTTAAAAGGTTTGACGATACTAACTGCAGCAAAATATTACAGGAGATGAAGCATGGTTTCTAAATTGGTTTACACCGCAGTATCCACTTTGTATAGAGTTTTTGTTGGAACTTCGAAAGGCATCGTTAGAATTTGACCCGTCGAAAATCCGTTTTGGTACTATTGATTGTACCGTTCATACTACGTTATGCCGTCAATACAATATCCAACATTATCCTACGTCAATGCTTATAAATGGTAGCGATATACATCAGTTCACGTCGAAAATGACAGCTACGTATGTTATTCAATTGATTCGCGAAAAAATAAATCCATCAGGTAAAAGATATGATAAAAAGAATTATATTATAATGATGTGTAAATATTCATTTTATTCGATTATACAGTTATAGAACTAACATCGAAAAATTTTAATCATAAATTGGCGATGAAGACAAGTAAAGTTATGTGGATCGTTGATTATTTTGTATCATGGTGTGGACCGTGTCAAAAATTAGCACCTGAATGGATAACTGTTGCAAAATCGCTGAATAATTTATCGTTTGTGAAAGTGGCTAGCGTAAATTGTGAGACTGAGGCTTCCTTATGCCAGTCTCAAGGTGTACGTTCTTATCCCAACATTAGATTGTATCCGTTAGGAAGCGAGGGACTGAGTACAGTCGCGTGAGTCATAATTTTCCTGCTGTTCATGCATTCGTATAAATCGCGTGTCACAATAGATATCTCAATATGTATCTTATCGTGCATTTTTATTATTTGTTTACAGGTTGTACAATGGACAACGAGATTCATTATCTATATTAACATGGATAACAATGTTCTTCCCGAAGAAAGTTTATGATTTGCAGTCCTCTAACTACCGGAAGTCATTGGATAGCAAGCACATATGGATCATCAATTTTTATTTACCGCGTTGTTGGTATTGTCAAAAAATGGAACCCGAGTTTGCAATTGCTGCTCAGGTATAAATGCTGTTTCATAATTAATTTAGCTTTCTGTAACTTTTGATGAAAACTAAATCGATTACAAATTCTGCTTTAATTTCAGTTGCTGGACAAAGTAAAATTTGGAAAAGTTAATTGTATGTATGGATGTGCACAGATACACTCTTTTCCGACCTTAATGTTATATAATTCTAAGCATACAAAAGAAAGTAGGCATGGCGGTATTAAACTTGATGCGACGACGGCTGAGGAGATCAGGGATAAAATTTTAGGAATTATTAATTCTCGCGCAAAACATGATGAACTGTAATAGACAAAGTGCCTAAATTGAATTTAGAACTTTTATTTTATCGTTACAATCATACATAAATTCTTTCTTTAAAATAAATACAAATAAATTAACATTTGTACCATCACAGATTTGATATATAAATTCGTAAAATATATTATTAATTTCTTATTCATTTAATAATGAATGATAAGTTTAAATTGTTATATTTTATATATTAAGTTTATATATATTGGAAAAATATAATATATGGATTGAGTAATAGATATTTATTCATTAAAATAATGGAAAAGAAATATTTGACGAATTTATATTATCAAATGAATATTGGTATAAAAACTAATTTATGTGAAAGCATAGTGCCAGAAAGAAAGTTTACATGATTTTTTGTTTCCGCCATTTGACTTATTGAATTGATGCGATGAGAAGTAGAAGATTTTAAAAAATTTTAGTAATGTACTTATCTGTAATTGATGTTTAATTGCTCCATTCTGACATGTCCGCTCTTCCAGAAGCAACAAGGAAGACATCTAGACTAGATTTTTAGTCCCATTGTGATACTTTTATATATTTTTGTATAACATTTAATAAAACATGAACAAATGTATGAACAAATTAATAAGATCTAGAGAATTTCTCTTTTCCTCTCATTCAAGTATTAAATTTGATCGCAAAAAAGTAGTTTTCAGTATTTGTTGGAGGTTCCGTTTGCGCAGTAAGAGACATGAATATCATGAATTTCATTTATTAACATGAGATAAATCAAATTCTCTCCTAATATTCCTGATATTTTTAAATATCATTAAAAAATAAGTTTCTTTAATTTTTTCTCTTTACAAATGCATTAACTTGAGATTTGACTGCGTTCTTTCTAAAAATAGTGTCTACAAGCGTATAACTATTACATAAATATAAGAGTAAATACAGAGATAAATATATTCTATAAAAGACGTTGCACCATTACGTTTTCGTGCGTGTTTGTCATTGTATTTAAATGCAATATATATCCAAATATTTTATATATAAAATATTTTACATTTTACACATATAGATATTTAAAACTAGTTGTAGCTTCAAAACTTACAAATATATAAATCAATAATATATAGAATAACATATAATAAAAAAATATCTAAATGTGCTTCTTCTTTTTGTATGTTCTCCTCTTTTCTTATTGTTACATTAATTACACTAATATTTATGAATAGAAAGTGTAATTTTCATTTTGTCAACAATGATTAAAAACATTGATTTAACGATGGAATGTGTATTTAACTGAAAAAAAAAACTATGTAACAACATTCCATGTAGCACGCATGCGCTTAGAAACTGTTAATAAATTTAAGTTACACTTTATGTCATTAATATCCAAAAATAATTTTTCTTTTGACTAATTTTCCTTTATGTTATCTTTTAATATAAATTGAGAGAAATATTTTCTTTCAAATAGAATATAAATAATTTTTAATACGAATGTACTTTCTGATATCACATAAAATCGCGGTATGCGAAGGCAGTGCTAATAGAAAAATGCAAATAAAAATTCAACAAAGTAATGTAGCCGCTTTTACAGCGTAGATAATTAAAAAACAAATACATAACTTTTCTAACATTTCTAAAGATCTGTTTCTAAAGATTTTTTTTTAATGTAAGACAGATTCTTAATATCAAAAGTTTTATAAAATAGAATTTATCACTCATATATAAGTTAATTTCTTGATATCGCACATGTTTTATTACATCGTATCTTTGGTCGATGTCGAAGAGACAAAACCTAACAGTTATGAATCTGACAAAATTGCAATACATACAGACTGCAGTGTAAATTAATCTAAATACATAATTCAACAAATTCAACTTAAAATAACATATATTGCGACATATTGCTATTTATTGATAAATTATGTAACGAAAGAAGTTGTCTGTTAAAACTTTTGATCAAATTGAATTAAATTCTATTGCCATATAGAATTCGAAAACAAAATATTCTCACTGATATATATAATAAAATAATTCCTTTAGTTGTTAACAAATTAAATTATTAAAGTTTAGGTTCTTTTCTTAGAATATGCAAAATCTATACTTTTAATCCAGTCTTTTATCTTCTATATTTTTGCATTATCTACCTTCAAAATTGTTTCTTTTTTCTTATACAGTATATCTCAAAAAGATTTTATCTAACTTTGGAAATAAATTCTATTTTATTTTGAGAATATATTTCTAAAGTCAGAATGTATCTTTTAATATCCTGTAATATCTTTCTAAAAAAAAATCTATTTGCTTTAGCCTATTTCAATGCAGTCTCTCGTTCATTAGTGTTTTGTAATTGTAAATGTAATTGTAAATGTTTTGTAATTCAGGACACTTATTTAAAAAGAATTGAAGTTATAAATCATAAATGTAATTCCAAAATTTCGATTGTATTAATATAACAACTTAATATATTTTATGAAAAAATCAATATTCTAAATTGTTTTTATACTAATATGTCATTAAAGCATCGCATACTATGTGTATAATTTTACGTATATGTATATACGTATATATAATCTCCATATATTTCAGAAAAATATTATTTTAAAGATATCATTGTATCGTATCTTTTGCTGGTCTCGATTATTATGCATTAACTATTTAAAGAATAAAATTATTGCAAATATATATGTCCCCTGGCCTTGATAATTATTATCAAAGTAAGATAGTATACACATAATATGATACAGCTGGTTGTAAAAGTATAATTTTATCATTTTCGAACCTGTGAATCACTGACACGCACGATTAATAAATCGTGCTAATATCCATCGTCTTACGACTCTAAACATTAATTGTTTGTAAAACGTAATAAATTATGATACAAAAATTGTATATTATGTGTCGCGTTTCGATGGCGGTATTAAATGTTCTGGCAGCTCAGCCGGTAGATCGTATCCTTCGAGCTTTACATTAATCAGATGCATGGCTAAGGCAAATTCGTCAGAATCTAAGAATCCATCTTTATTAACATCTGAAAGTTTCCAGATCTTCCCAAGCACGCTGTTCGGCAATTTGGATTTAACCATTTCTGACTTGGCCGCTAATAGTACAGATTTTATATAAATCAATTAGATTATTTTATTCCAAGAAGAATAAATATATTGTCTGTAAGAAAATTTGTCAGTCTTACCTGCTCCCGTAATTTTTCCGTCTTGTGGTCCAAGTGATTCAAAGATACTATCATATTTATATCTTTCTTTATTTACGATCCATTCTGGTTCACCTGCACCAGCATCGATTCCTTCTCCTCTTTTGTATCCAAATGGACTAACTTGATCTTCTACACCCTCAAATGCACCTCCTAAAATCAAACAAGTAAAATATATATAAATGTTTATCTATATAATTTACACATACATATCATATGTAACGTATTGTTTATACATTTTCTTATATTAATTTGTTAATTACCTAATAAATTCATCTCTCCTTTGGCAAAAATTTTATGAAAAATTGAAAATTCTTTCAGCAATATTTCAACTTAAGATTAAAGATATTTAAATAATCGTTATTAAACATACCTTTAATTAGTGGTTCAGATACTGTAGTGATTTCTTCATGTGGTATCATAGCCATAAGCTTCGCGATATCTTCAGCAAGCATTTTATCTACCACTTCTAATAATTTCGGCTTCAGAGGATTGAATTTACTAAAATCATGATGTGCTAAGCTCTCTTGCATCTTTTTTAGATCTGGGAAATCACCAGGTGAAATCTGTTGTTCTCTTTGAATTTGATCATAAGTCTGGCCCAAATTTTTGATCAGTTCTTTTTTCTTGGTATCCTTGCCAAACATGCTCGGCATATCTTTTCGTAAAGCGCTTATTATATATGCGTGAACCTTTAATATAGAATGAGTTTTTTCAATTGTACTATATCTAAGATTTTAAACTGCAAAAAGATGAATACAAATTTTTTGTACCTTTGCTAGACGTGCTCGTTTGATTAAGTCGTTAAGTTTTCTTAATGCAGCGTTTCTTGGAAGTGATTGCATATCTTTGAATAAATCTTGCTCCTCATCTTCAAATAATCTGAAAGAAAATTCACATATATACAATTTGTAAATATAAAATCATGTATAAAAATAAAAAAATAAGTGATGAAAAGTAGAAAACACAAAAATACATGTACCTTCTATTAACATCATATCGTAATGGTTGATCCCAGAATGAGCCAATATAAACTCTAGCTACCTCTGGAGTTTGTAATACCTTTCCTAATGACCACATTAAAGCACCATATACTCTCATAAGTTGTTGATGATCTATCATATCAGCTTTGTTAAGAACAATTCTAATTTTATCATCATGCCCACGTAAGGCTTCAATAGATCTACGGAATTCATCTGATATATCAAGCTTATGAGCATCAAATAGCAAGATAATCCTATCTACACGTTCAGCAAACCATTCTAAGACACCAGTGAAATCATAGCCTCTGTCAACCTAAAAGAAACATTCTGTACTTAAAACACTAGTTGTACTTATATTTATATGTGAATATATATATTTTTATCTATAGAAGCAGAACTATATACAAAAGTGATACCTACTCGTTGTTTCTCACCAGACAATATACCAGGTGTATCTACTATGGATATACCTTTTAAAACAGGTGAGGCTACAGTTGAGCACTGGAATCTATTCAAGAATGCATTGCCAAATTTCGAAAGTGGCCTAAATTGTTTATTTGGATCTACGACCAAGGCATTTCCAGGAATGACTCCTTCTTTCTCATCATACATGACTGCTATAAAACGATCAGTGGTAGGTTCTGGTCCAATCCTAATCCCAGGGAAGTCTCTCTCCAATAGATATTTAATGAATGTGGTTTTGCCGGTAGAGTATTGTCCAACCAAAAGAATCATGGGTTTCGCATCAAAATCTGGATCATCGAGCTGTGGCGAATGAAAGTCATGGAACTGATAATACTGTTCCAGTGGTAGCAGTTTGGATTTATATATTCTCTTGAGGCCTTCGGTGACATTTTCAAAAAGATCCTGCTTGCTGTTTTCTTCTCGATTTAGCCAGCTGAACATATTGGCGATCTGCAACAAATCAAATTTTATATTCTATCTAGTTGTGACTCATCTAGCATCTTATATTCTGAGAACTTGTCAGTTAGCACTAAATAACGTCACGCACTATTAAGTATATTTCTGTTACTTGAGTTTTTTTCAGTTCCAAGAGATAAAAAGAGATAAAGAGCAAATTAAAAGAGTAAGTTAAAAATCGAGATTGAAATTAATTCACATTAGTACAAATAGAAATCAGTCAACTGCATCAACATAGCTCATAAAGGTTAAGGTTATCGCATTAATATCAAACTGTGCCGTCTGAAATCTCACTGTGCTTTCAAGAATCTCTGAGGGGACGACCCGAAAGGATATCACGTGGAACGCGGCCGTTTCTGCCCACTGAAAACTCGGCCACGCCGCGTTCCGTCGTCTCCGATATCTTGCTCGGCACCTCCTTTCCCTGATCGTACCTTTTACCTTTTACCTTACCGAAAAGAGCCTGAGACCTTCAACGGGACATCCGAAGCGAGTGACAACGAGGCGAGCAAAGTGCGAAAATGCAAAAAGTGTGAAAAAGAGCACATGGACGACCAGACCTAGAAAGGAGGGAGCGGGAGAGACAGATAAGGAGGGAGGGAAATAATCTGTCGAGCACCAACCTTTGTTCCGTCAGTCAAGGATGAATAAGCACGCTTGACAGAGCGCGACGGGCGCGAGGACGAGCGTTGACTAATGGACACGACCAGCGAGCGCACGGCCAAGATGATGTCAATGACAACGGCGACGAAGTGGTGGTTCGCCGCCGACGTGACGTATGCCCAACCGATCACGGAAGATCGCGAGCGACGCGGATTTCCGGAGCGGACGTAGTGGTAGTGACGGCGGCGATGAAGGTAGTGATGGTAGTGATGGTAGCGATGGTAGCGACGGTGGCGGTGGTGGCGGAAGAACGGTCCCTGTGCACACGATCACCAGCGATGACGTAACCTTGGTTGGAGGCGCGTCGCGTCGCGTTGCGCGAGCACCTCGCGGGAAAAACGAGCGAGCGATCGCAAGGCGGAGCCGCGCCCGATAAACCGGGGACCGATATATCACGCTCGATCCGAAAACACCCTCTGCCACCCCCGAGCCACCTCGTGGAGCGATACGCGTGACACGCGACCGACCCGACCCGATCTGACGTGACGCGACACGCGACGCGACCGATGACACAGATGCGACGACATGATAGGTATGTACATTCGACGACGCGATAGGTGCATTCGTTTATGTAGCCACTATCGCAGATGTCGTTTACTCCGTCTGCGAAAGCGACTGCAGCGCAAACGAACACGCGTAAACGAACACGAAAATGAATTTCATATGAAACGAAAAGAGTCAGAAACGAATAAAAATTGATTTAAGTAAAATAAAAATAATGCGAGGTAAGTTAACAGAAAAGTTATGAAGTTTGTTAATTCATGTTTGCGATCAGATTAATCTAAAAATGCATATCTCTCTTGAGTGTAGATTAAAAATCTAAACACACAAGCTCATATTCCTCTTTCGAAATAAATAAATAGATTTATAAGTTACAAAAATTACAAACTCATTTTTTTTAAATCAGCCATCACCATTTAATATCAGCCAATACTATATTGTTCAATAAAATTGGAAATCGATCGACCATGTACGGCTTATAAAATACAACTTTTTGATTTATATATTTACCTTGAAAGATCTTTTCGTGGGGCGAAAATGAGATTGAAATGTTTTGTGCATATGATTAATTCTGTCTGAGTCTGATGAGCTACAAGAATCTGAGCTATAATGAGCTTCCATTATCAGTTATCAGATATAATTTCCATTATAATTTCTGAAAATAAAATTTTTTAAAATAAAATATGCTTAAAGATATAATTCACAAAAAATTAATATTTACTTTTAAATAAAATTCATTTACTTTAAATAAAATTCATAGATTAAATATTTTTATAATATCCATTGTTTATATCAATTTTAATATTAATAAAAATATTATCTTTTTTATACAATGAAAAAATTTTATTACATTTCAATTATTCGAATATAAATTTATGTATAAAATTGTCTTTTTACATACTATTCAAACAATCGGCTCTTTCTATCGGAAGATACGATTCGTGCAATTATTCAGCTATCCGTTCGGTAAATTTCGATCACGTGACAAGCAGATGAGAAAGTAGATGCACAAAACACTACATAAACGAATGCACCCTGCCTGCGTGACAGAACAGGTTGTCAACAATGACTATCACACTGACATCGAATTCAATACTGACAACTGGCGATTATCGAAAGGCGCGAGATAGAGGGGGGGGGGGGAAAGGGAAAAATGCTGACTCGAGGAATCGGATTCGCATTTCAAACTATGTTTCAAAATTCACGGCACTTAAAATTTATAATATATGGTGAACTATACATTTTTAATACCAGCAATGAATTTTGAAAGACATTATTGTTAGTTACGATTGCACTTAAATTTATTCATGAATAATGATCCAATGCTTTTGATTTGTAATTTATGAATATACATACTGAAGAGAATGAGTATCTTGAAAAAGATGAGTTGAAATACGCTTTTTACGCTTATTTCAAATAGTGTGTAGGATTCACAACTGTGAAAAACACAATCAGGAATTAAAAAGCATAAATATAAGTTTTACACAATATAACAATTTTAAACTATTATAAATATCTGCAGATTCTCTTTCTTGTTTATTCCATTTAAATTTTCCTTTCTGACTTTTGAATATTTTTGTATTTTACATTTCAGATAACAACTAGACGTTATTTGTCATCTAAATAACAACAAATAAATTTATCATCTAAGTAACATCAACTTGTTACTTGATTTCATGTTATTTCCGTATGAAGTTGGGCACTCTCCATTCTTGAGGGGGGGGAGCGCGAGGTTGTCTGTGATTATTCAAACCCCACTGCAACCGCCATTGCAAACGAATCGTCTGATGATCGTCTACCGAATTCGACGGAAAAATATGGTAAATTCACAAAAATTCCTTCTAATCTAGGTTGAATGCCAAAGAATGTGGGAACACGTCAAAGTATAATAAATCTCGCTCTTAATCTAGGAGATTGAGAATCTTGGAGATAAGGGTGTTGATAAAGAATTACATCAAAAACTATCTGTTCTTGGAAAAAAAAAATTTGAAATATTTTGCGTTTATCATGTATACATAACGCTTCTCAAGGGATGTTTTAAAAGCACCAAATAAATAATGCTTCTTCTCTTTTCTCCAGCTTTCTCTGCATTAATAAACGAAACTCTACTCCATTAGTAAATGAAGCTTTTTGTTCTTCCTCTCTAATTAACAATAGTCGTTGAGGCATATCTCGTTGTATCAGAAATTATTCAAAATTACGATACTAATATTTAAAAAACAAATTAATAGCTCATAGTTAACGCGAAGTAGGAATTAATTTATTTTTCCTTTATTTAATTATTATTCGATTAATTTATCTAAAAAATTATTTTATTATCTTTTTTACTTTCGCTTGGAAACCTGAATGTGAATAATCGTGTGGTAATCATTAAAAAGGGAAAATGTTCAGCGAATAACTATTGTCATTATTTGCCACGTGATTATTATTTTTTTTTTATTATATAATTTGCCGGTGCGGTCGAGCATGAAAAAATAGGTTCGCAGAATCGGAAAAATATAGGGTATCCCAGATCGCTGGGATTTTCTTTCTTTCGTACACGCGGCAAATTACGTAACATCGTAACCGTAATGAATGACAGTGACATAACGAAGCCGTGATGTTAACAATGTGTGACCATGCCAAGAGACAATCGATAACCATAACCTTCTCTCATGCAAGCTCGATCGAATTGCGAATCTCGAGGCATGCGGCGGATTCGCGCAAATATAAAACACCGGTATTCAAAACGCACGTCAAACAGTGAGTCAAAGCGATAAACTTCCTGTCTTATCTTTCCTATTAAACGTAGCATTCAATCCGCGAGCAGTTCCCTTGATTCAGACTGATCTAAAAACGAAATATTACGGAAGCGGCGGTAAAATTAATTAAGAGGCGATATCTCGCTGAGAGAAACAATTGTAGTTACAATCGATTCTTTCATAGCGATCTTACCCGAGAAAAACTTGGCGAAATATCAGATCGAAGTGTTATCATATTGAATAAATATTTGCCCGGCAAATATATTTACTTCATTGTCATCGACACCTCGAATTATTTTCTCGTTCACTCTTTGCAAAAAAAAAAAAAAATATTTTTAATTCGTTTAATTCGTTCGCGGAAATGTGAACAGAACAATTAATTGAAATCGCGTAATGACTAGATCGTCCAATTATCGATTCAATGGATTGGAAAATATGACACGCATTGAGACTCAACGTTGTATATTCTTCCACCGAACTGAGCACGACTGTTTAATTGCTAATTGCGTACGCACTATTCGGTACAACAGACAATAGTTCACGCCAATAATCGTACATGATATTACGCAATGATATGCAAAACGTCCAGTGTCAACTGTTGCATAAGCAAAACGGGCACATCCCGGTTAAACGATTTCGTGTCCATTTATTCGTCTTAACGAGCTCGGCTTGAATTACAACTGGTGTGCTGGGATACCGAGTTATAACGTGCACTTTATTACGCACTCAACCATAACATCCGCAGTTTCCCTAAGGAAAGCAATACGGATGTCTTTAACAATGCAACGAATTCTGAAGTGATTTAAACTTATAAAAATACAGCATTTTTCAATACGCAAACGTTTAATTTCTTATAATCATCTACTTTTATATTTTTGATATGAACATTTTGTTTATAATATAATTTCATATTTTGGTCACATAAATCTATATCTATTTTAATAAACTCACAGATCTTCTAGTCATTAATAATTTCTTATCTTTTTGTACATCTGCATTTTAGTTCTGTCTATAAAAGTTAACTTGATTTATAGTGTGTCTAAAAATTATTTGCAGATATTAATTGAGTGAAAAGAAAAAGCAAAACAACAAATAATTTAATCTAAGAGAATGATTGAAACATTCCTTTATAAAGAACAATCTTTTATTGCAAGATGAGAACATAATAGAAGTTGCAAAATAAGAACATAATAGAACTGTATTTTCTCAGAAAAATGACGAAGGGATTTCTTTGACTATTTTTTATATAAAAACTTCTATCTTATATCACTGTCAATATAGACATTGCTTGCAATGATATCTTTTTATCATTTATCAGTATTGCATAAGATACTGATGATTCCATTTCTTTCATAACTGTCGATGATAGTCTGCAATGAGATATCAGAGGCGCCTTCTGTGTCAGACGTCTTGTACTGTGTGTTCATACCGACAAATAATTATTGAACAAATCAAATTTATAAATTTATTTATATTTAATACACATTTTACTTTTACAGAATATGCAGACACTTCACACATTGGTGGATCCTTTGTGAGTAAGGACGCCTTCCGCGTGCAGAAGAAAAATGGAGTACATATACAAATAACGACATTGTTTCATTGACAAATCAATATTGTTAAGTACAACAAAAATTTTTCTATTATAATCATGTAAATAAAATGCTATTCTGTTCTCATCTTATACATAGATTTGGTTTTTATAGTTGAATTAATATATATTCGTACTTAAAATTTTATATATATATATATATAT